AAAAAAAAAACAACTATGCCACCGCAGGCAATTGAGCCATGAAGGACTTTCACGCATGATAGTACCAGCAGCATATGTCCGCGCCACCGCTTCCTTCATCCCATCTATTGACGTATGCCAGAGCAGCCTCCCTGGCTCATCTGGCGATGGGCTCACCTGCTTGTGAGCTCTGCGCAGGGCGTTCGAAGTTCAGCGCTGAAGAGGCCCAGGTTTTCTCACAACCGCACATGGAAGCCATTTGACAGCGTTGCAGATTCTTCAGATGTGCCTGTGCAAGTCCTTCTTCCGGCGGAGCCAGTGGGTCTTCAGCAGCGAACGAAGAAAATGCTCGGACTGAAGTGTTCGGCGCAAGAATCACTGCACAATATCCATTCTACACTAACACATAACAATTCCATCCACTGTTCCGTGTATTCCTCCATACAGTCCGTCTACCATAATCCTACAAATGCCGACGTACAATCAGATATATACCTTCATGTCATTTAGAGCTTTAAATGTCCGCTGGCAGGCACAGTCCTCGAACCGCTCGCAGAGCCCAGCACAAGTCAGTTGGTCGTCGCATCAGTGTACGGCGTGTTCGCGACCCCAACGCGCGAGTTTGTCGTGTCGAAGATGCTATAGAAGCGCTGCAGCCAACCATAGCCATCTACATCAGGCGACCGTATCAGCAGATGGCTTCAGGAAGACGGGAAGAACACGCACTGATAAAGTCCAGGCCCTGGCCAATGTCGCTCCCGAGGTCGCTCGCGACGAGGTAGATCTTGCCCTCCTCGCCGCCGATGGCCGTGTTCAGCGCACGCGGCCATATCTGCGCGTTCGCCGTAAACTCGAACTGCGTGCCCTCTGCGTCGCGCGATTCCGTCAGCAGAGAAGACGGCGAAACGCAGACGGACGCACCAATGGTGAAGTAGAGCGACTGCAGGCTGTCGTACTGTGACTGGGTGACGGCAAGCAGACCGGTGGTGCTAATCGCAAACCTAATCAGCATCCACAAACGTGAGATCCTCCGCCACGCGCACCTGTCCAGGGTGGCGCCGGTGGCCTTCTGGTATGCGTTGAACGCCGAGGTGGCGAGTAGCAAGAGGGTGGTGCCCGTGTCGACGATACCCGCGTCGTTCGTGAGCAGCGTCGTGCCCGTGCCGTACGCGACCGTCTGGTTGATGCCCCAGTAGTCCGACGCAGGTGACGTGCTCGTGATCGGCGTGTACGTGATTTCACCAGTGTACCTATAGCAAATCGCGTTTCACTATACGTGCCCAGTGGATCATCTCGAGCTCGCGCGCACCTCGACGGGTCCACGCCACCAAACGTCAGCTCGCCGTTCGCCAAGTCGGTGGTCGAGCTGGGCTCAAAGGAGATACTGATGCTCTCGACGCTGATCGAGCCCTCCGAGAATAGGTTGTCCGTCACGGTGGGCACGGTGGACGTGTTGGAGACCGTGTCCGTGGTGAGGTCGACGGGGCCGATGCCGAGGATACCGTCGACGCCGCTGAACCCGGTCGCCTTGGATGCGACACCGATCGACTGCTGCTTGATAACGAGGCTCGAGGCAATCGTCACCTGGTCGATATCTGCGGGGAGGGGTAAGTAGGATTGTGTGGGAAGGGAAGAGTGGGACGTACATTCTTCGCCGGAGAAGGAGCCGGAGCCGTAGCTGACGCTCTGGGAAGAGAAATATGGAGTGAGAACGGCTCATGCGAAACGCTTGCGCGTGAACTCACGACAGTGTCCCCGGTGTCCTTGCTGGTGCTGGTCTTTACGTACTTGTTATCAGCGCCGAGCCAAGTGTTGGAGCTGCCTATGTGCGCGCATGGCGTTAGCGAACGGGACGCACATATCCGCGATAGTTGTACATACCAGTGTCAATAAGCATGGTGTAGTTAGTGGCAGGCGAGCCGACGCCAACGGTGGCGTTGTAGTTGACACTGGCGTCGGTCACGTCGACACCGACACCGGTAGTGGAGGACGACGTGCCGGAGCCGGTATCGACGCCAGTACCTGAGCCAGTCTGGCCAGTTGCACCGCCGCCGCTGTGCTTATGGCGGTCTTCACGCTCACGCTCGCGCTCGCGCTCGTGCTCGCGGTGGCGTTCGCGGCGCTCGTGGTGATCGTGACGGTCATGCTCATGGCGGCGCCTGTGGGCAGCATTGGGCCCGTGGGGACGGATGCCGGCGAGGAGCTTCTGGGCGCGGGCGCGGTCGCTGGCGATGATTTCCTTGGCGTGGGGGAACGCGAGGCGGGTGGTGAAGGGCACGGCGCGGGCGACGATGTGCGACATGTTGTAGGTGCTAGACAAAAGTGTAGAAGACGAGAGGAAGTGGGATGGGGGGGAGGGTTATATATGCGAGGGGGGACTGAATCGGGCGAGACAGGAAGCAGTACTAGGTGTACGGCAGGCGTGCTGGGCAGAGAGGGTTGCGTCATGGAATGTGTAGCAGGGCCTGAGCGTGTGTAATGTGAATAAGCGGTCAGATCGAGCTGGTTCCGGAGGATTACTGGGAGGATGGGCAATTGCAAAGCGTTATCGCGAGGCACATAGAGGGCTCCGTGGAATGGACGGAAGGAGAAACACGGAAACGGATCCACGGTGGACGGAGAAGCAGCACGAGCCTGTGATACGATGTTTCCAGCCTGCTCGGACGGCGTTGGGCAAGGACGAACGCAGCGTCCGGTGGGATTGCTTCCGCGATCTCGGCTCTGGCTGCGGGCGATCGCGCGATCCGCAGCATCGCCGATCGCTTTGCGCTGCGCATGATGCATGCGATCTCACATGTCACAGCCCAAGCTTCATGTCGTTTGCCTTCGCAAGTCTCGCAGCGCCTGATGTCGACAGTCTCGCTCCCGTCCTCCGAGTCGTTCATCGTCCGATCCTGTACCAGAATGGTTGCTCCGAGAGACAGCCAGCAGACTGCAAGAGCTTGACATGTGCCAGCCGGAATGAGGTAAAGAGCTCGCTATATCTCTCCCTGCGCTCCGGCCTGTACGTTGCCTCAGGTGCGACTCAAACACAGGTTGAGGGAGCAGTCAGACCGTGCCGCACGTTTGCGATCGTGACCTGCTGCGTGGCCACCATCGTCGCTTGCATATGGTCCGATATTCATCCCGATGTCGTTTATCCTACTGACAGCGCCTGGAAAGCCCGACTTCTTCGAAGCGGTTTCACGATGACCGCGCTCTTAACTCAGGAATTGTACGTGTACCAGGCAGCTCTTCAATGGCAAGCCGCAGGCCGTGTTGCTCAAGGCTTAATGGCAGCTGTCTTCAGCATCACACCGGAAGGCAATCCTGGCTGATATATTCGTAAATGCGCACATTGGAAAGTGCCACCATTCCTCCATGACGAATTCCGACCATTGGGCGCGATCAAAATTCCCGAAAAATCTCAAGCGCGGGTCGCTGACACAAGCAAAGCTGACGCTCTGCCAAAGTTAACGATGGTCCTTCAGACCAGTTGGTTCGTGCTCCGGGTTGTTGCTCGGCTGGTGCAGAATTGCCCGCGACCCAACCCAAAGTGTCCACCGTCGCCTTTGCCGGGATGACTGGTGCAACGTAAGGTTTCTGCTTGCACAAGCCACTCAACGTTGCGTGCCCGCTTATCATGTGGGTCGTGTCGCAACGGGAAGTCCAAACAGATCCCTTTCAACAAATATCTGCCCAGAAGAATATCTAGGTGTGGTCAGATGCTTCTATCCACTTCCCTCCCGATACTTGGAGAACTAACGGATAACGTAGGAGTATTGAACATGGACCTCCCACACTGTGCGTGCTTTACAAATATTCACGTAAGTTACCTTCTTCAAACAAGTAATCTGCTCATCGAAGAAGTTCGGGCACGCATCTCGTCGCCCATTCATGATCTGCCGGTATGGCGTTGTCAGGCTCAAGTTGAGCCCTTCCGCCACGAGCGCGGAACAGCTTCTCCCAACGGCACTGTATCCATGGCCAATGCACGTCCTGCGAGTCATCATCTACGCAGCGATGATCCCCTTCCACATTTCGCGTTCCGCATACTTATTAGGCTCCTCCTGGCAGATACTGACACAGACAGGTATCCGGATGACGGATGCTGGCTCACCAGCTGCCACCGGCAAGTGCGATTTCATCCCACGCGTCGTCATCGCCTTTTCCACAGACTCTCTTTGGACGTCGCTTGGTGTGCGCATTTCTCTATTGTGTCGGAGCAATGGCTTTGGCGAAGCTGCTCTCTGGCGGTTTGCGACTTCTCATTACTCGCATTCATTCTTCCTTTGCTAGTCTGTGTTAGGCCCGAACATGCTCGGTTTCTTTCACGTATCTTATATCTGGCAAGTAACACTATTCCTTGCTGTAGACACCCTATGCTCTCTTCCCGCGGCAGGTGCCTACCAACCCGTCTCATGGACCGCTGGCAGATTCATGCCGCAGATCTGAATTTCAACGTGTATCCATAATACTCTCGAAGTGTTGTGTAGATCCGTTCTCTTGCAACGCACTACTAAAGCTAACCTAAACGTATGGATACAATGCTCACTGGCCTCGCACGACGGGTCACGATAAACACTTTCCATCCATAGTCCTTGTAGCTAGATTGAGGTACAGCACATCTTCCTATAATACATCGTGCATTGTTCATGTTCATGTATGACACCGATACCTAGTCCGTGCAACCAATCCAATGTACTACCGTCCAAACCATCCAACACGAGCCAAGGTCCGACGAAAGCAAAACAAATCGAACGTCTCGAGCCCAATACAATGCAGGGGTTAAGTGCCGAGCAATACGACCTACCCAGCGCGCTCAACCTCTCGAGAGGCGCTCCACTCTCGAGATACAACCTACAAACTAACGACCGCCACCCTCCGCGGCCCCGCTTCCCCGCCGGCTACATGCCGCAACCGCGAACCGATCTTCTTCAGCTTTCTCCAGCACTTGAGTTTCTTCAGCCTATGCCACACATTGCGCCTTCGCACACCCGTTCTAACTCCGCGCGACGACCCTACCGGCAGCAGAGCCACCGTGTTCGCCTGTTTCGCATTGTGTTTCCGTTCCCCCTCCTGTGCTCCCTCCCCACTCACATTCGTCTTGATCCTGCCCGTCTCCTCCCACGCCGCTGACGTCTTCTTCGCCCAACACCCCGCCCCGCCGCCGACGCGATCGAGCCAGTCCGTGCGCGCCTCGCGGAAGCCGTACCCCTCCTTCTCGCGCGTCGGGAGGTACAAGAAGCGCGCGTCGTGCCGCATCTGCGCCTCGTGCGCCAGCGCGGCGAAAACGCGCATCACGTCCGCGTCGCCGCGTACGTCCATGCAGCACGAGCAAAAAAAGTCGGACGCGGCGGTCGGAGGCGGCTGGATTGCGAACATGTGCAGGTCGGGGGTCGATCGGAGTGAAGATGGCAGAGATGAGGAGGAATGTGGGTGTGAATGTGGCGGACTGGAGGGGAGAACGCGTGCCCACGTAACGCACTGTGCGACGACTGCATCAGCGGGCAGAGGGGGATGGGACGAGGCGGACGCGAACGTGGGAAGAGGAGGGAGGGCGAGGATCTGCGGGACGATGTCGCGCTCGACGCATTCCGCGTGCAAGACCTCGGCGACGCGCTTCGAGCCCCACATGTCGAGCATAGAGAGGCGGAGATGAGTCAGCACGGGCGAGAAGGCGCGCACGAGCGCGTGTGTCGCGTCGGTGCCATACACGAATCCGTGGAAAGAACATGCGAGATGCAGTCGGCGCAGTTGTGGGCGGGCGCACCACGCTACTCCAGCCTTGGTCGAACCGGCGCTATTGATGGACGCAACCGTGGCCCGGTCGTCGTTGAATTTATCATCACGGATATCATCAAGGGATACCTGTGAGGGTGTACACCGCGCTCGGACAGTGAGTTCGGAGAGCACAGGCAGCGGGACGCGCAGAAGCCCCTCAATGCAGTGCGCGCTGGTGAAGAACGGATCAAACGCCACGAACGTCAGCGTCTGCAATGTCGGCGCTGCGTATCGGAGGATCTCGCTCTGGTAGAGCGGCCAGTCGTCGCAGGGGCTTCCGGGCCAGCAGCTGTCGTGTGCTTCGTTGCATGTACGGGTGGAGAGGAAGAGATGGTGGATCGGCCGGCGATGGCGGGGCTCGAGATCATAGGCGGCGAAGACGTGCGCAGCGAACCCCCGCGCCTGACGAATGCCTGAGATGGACAGGGACTGCCATTGGAAGGGTGAGGAGGCGGCGTGGATATAGTGCGAGACGAGGGAAAGCGAGCGACCAGTGGTGCCGTCTTCGGAGCATGCATAGGCAAAGATGATCGCGAGCACTTCCGGCGGGCATTTCTTCATGGTTGCTGGGGATGCTGGCGACGACCGACGAGACGTAGTTATAACCCGGTGCACAAGATGGGGGCAAAACGGCGGGCGGAGATATAGCTATAGAGAGAGAGATAGGGCGCTGATCTCTCGGACGCACGGTGGGCTTTTACATGCGAAAAATGATGTGCGCTCCGAGGGCGGTGTGATGCGATTGGAAAGGTCAGTCGTCCGTGATAGCATACGGCAGCGGGAGATGGGGAAGGAGGAAGGACATGATGGCACGGACGGCGAGCGCACTCGGGTCCGAAGTAAGGGAGCGCAGACGATGCGATATTCAGTGCAGCACGTCACCGGCCCTGCGCTGCACGAGCGAGAGAGATACAAATTACGAGCGTAGCCTCGACACTGCTCCTGACCGGAACCAGAGTCCGTCAACCACATCTTGATGTGGGATGAGCTGGAGGCGCAGGTCCATGATCGATGTATCCCAACGTTCAGCCTGAGGCAGTACCCGAACCCAGAGCTCGTCGTCCTCGTAAGATCTCGTAAGATACAAGTCTGTGATGATAATCATTTTGCGGTATCCTGCAGCGAACGTTGTTTGGGCATGACAGAAGGAGTTGAGGCATGCTCCGCGTGGGGAAGGTCCACATTTGTGATGGGAACGACGATCATGTAAGAATACAGAGGGTATCTGGACATATAACATCAAAACCAGTACAAGATCCTCACAGCGCAATCGTAAGTAGCCACATGTACCCAACAGCAAAACCGTCAAAACAAAAGCAACACAAGCAGCTTAGAAATCGTCAGCAAAGTAATCCGTCAGCGTTTCCTTGAATTCTCGCACTCGCAACCTCGTCACCATCAGAGCGCTCTCCTTGCAATGCGGCAGGCCGTCCACGATGCTCTGCAACTGAGAATCTTCGACCAGCACTTTGACCATGTTCTCGGCCGCCGTGAGCTTCGCCAAAACGTCCTCCTTCTGCAGCCCGGGGATCACCTCCGTGCCCCTCTCAAGTACCGCCTTCCATAGCAGGCCCCACAGCTTTGCGCACCGCTGCTGGCTCGTACACCGCGCATTATGCGCGATCGGCGGCGGCTGCCCAGGCAGTGCCTCCCACATCTTCGTCAGCGCATGATAGCCACTTAGCAAGCGCACCCGCTGGTCCCGCGTCAGCATAGGCTCCAGCTCCCAGTGCGCACGTCCCTTGAGCATCATCGCATGGTACGCCAGCCCGAGGATCGGCCGCAGGTTGAGGCGCTCCGCGGTGACGATCGCGAGCGCGAGGTCCTTGCCATCGCCAATGATCTTCTTCCACCGCGCAAGCGCGAGCTCCAGCAGGTCTGGCCGCTCGCAAAGTGCGGCGAGCTCGGTAATTTGCACAAGTGACGGCGCCTCGTGCGCGAGCGGGGACGACGTATGTGTGGGTCCCGGGAGCGTCGGCGGGCTCGTGGCTTGGATGGCGTCGAATGCGCCTGCGCGCGAATAGTAACCGTGCAGCGCGCCAAGCACCCAGGTCTCGATGTGCCGAAATTGGTACTTGTGCGCCATCCGTGCGAGGTTCACGAGCTGGGTGCTGTTCGCTTCGGAGGTCATCGCCAGCATAAGCTCGTGAGGTCTGGAATCCGATGCCCATGTTAGGGGCTTCGAATCATGCTGCGGAATATAGCTCACAGAGCATACAACGCCCACAGCAAAGCGCGGAACTCGTCCGCGCTGTCGCCTTGTAGTCGTATTGGGTTGTCGTCGCTATCGCCCTCGGTGACGGTCATGCTGCAATCTGAGCGCGCCGACTCCGTTTCCGTGGTAAGCTGGAACATGGCCTCGAAAGCGGATTTGTCCTTCATCAGAATAGACCTGTGTACCTGCGAAGAAGTCAGTCCGCGAGCCTTTACGTGTCCTGCCAGCACCCTCCTCACGGAGACGACCTTGAGACGGACGCTCAGGAGCAGCACGCACCTTGAAAAGCGTATTGTCCACCAATAGCACCGTGTTCCCATCCGATATGTAGTATACAGGGTCCCTGCTGGGCCCAGGAATCGATAACTTGAGCATCTCATCGTGCAGAAACGAGTTCGCCATCGTCATGAGCGGGCTGTCCGGCTGGAGCGGTTCGTGTTCCTGGTGCTGGTCCATCTAAGCGGCGGCTGCGAGGTTTATGTCGTAACGTCGTGCCAGCGAGTCGACCACACGTGCTGGAAGATCCTCGAGGAGAGGGCGGTGCCGTCGAAGCTGGCTATGCAGAGCCCCGAATTGTCATGAAGGAGGAGCAGACTTACGGCATAGCGTTGCTGATACCGATAGGCGCTCGGGCTGCCCCTGAGGCTCTCTGAGGCTCGCAGGGCTGCCTCTTCCGCTGCGATACAGCTCAGCAGCGTCTTTGGTCATTATTGACATTATTGACTGTGACCAGCTGGGCGGTGTATACTCTCTGATTGATATCGCGCGTGCAGCGCGTGGCCTAGTAAGCGGCTGCGAATATGCATCATCCACGCTCATCGCAAATTCCGTTTCACCTTTCTCTTGCGCCCAAGGGTCGCATTAGGACTATATCTGCAGTTGTCACTGCCGCATTTACTCACGGACCTCGTGCTGAATGGGTCGGAAGGCATTGTGAAGATGCCATAAATGCCAAAAAGAGTTCAACAATGACCCTGCAGACGTAATATGCTGTTTCGAGGTGTATTTACCGTTCCTTCAGCACATTCTCGCATAGCCTCCCTCTAGCAAGTGCAAAAGCCAAAAATCTGTAACTATCTAACTGACTCAAAAGTCCCATACCTCTCTCTGAGATTAATAATAAGGGTAATCAAGTCTCACTCTATCTCTATCTATTAAAATTGCCTGGACTTATGGAGATGACTGAGGTGATAGAAAAGCAGCTCACTGAGGTGCTGGGGAATTACTTTCTAATTAAGTGGTCCAAGCAGTGGCCATTTCTTCGTTGCGGTTCCACTTCAGAGTCTCCAGAAAAATGCATCCCATTTGCTCACACTCTTTCAGGGTTTGCTAACATTGCACTTTCCAAATTATATTCCTTGAATCTTCCTTTTGATATACATGCAACGACTAGGGGGCGTGAATCTGATACGTTGTTATGGGCAACCTGCCTTGAGATGCGAAGTTGCTCAAGGGATCTCTTTGCTTGAACTAAACTACAGTCGTTTCTTCAGATGCATCATCACTGTCATGCTCTTCCTCCAACGTCTCGTTGCAGCGCCGTATAGTGAAGACATCTGCGCTGCCTTCTTGGCGCAAGATCCTGATATAGGCTTAACATTGTCGACCGGACCAGGTACCATTGCAGTATAACACTCACTCGTCGAATAGGGCAATGGCCCTGCTGTCGTCATTATCGTCCGTATCATTTGATTGGCCACCAATCAATCCCATAGCATGTAGGACAAGCCTGCGCCTCTCAACGGTACTGGGAGGTAGCGAGCGCACCTCAGTTGGCGTAAGGGGCAAATTGACTGCAGATGGTGAGGTAGGCGTCGAGCTGTGCAGTATGATGTCGCGCTCGATGCCGGACGTAATAATGTATGGATAGTGCGGGTGCATCAGGGCAGTGTTGACGATAGATTGATGACCTGTCACATTGCATTCGGTGAGACTGTGGAATAGCGGTGATCATAGGGGTTGCGAACCTGTGATCCTGCAAAGCGGTGCATTCAGTTGATAGGGAACGTAGCAAGTTCCAGATTTAGGGGCTCTATATCCTTGTACACATAATATCAACTTCACGATGTTCTGTCACATCGCAAGGGATATTCCCTACCAACAGTCTCCGAGTTTCCGGAATTTGTCCAGATACTCGCATCATGACTTTCTCTCCGGTCGACGAGAGCCATTGGATCGGGAATCCTCCACACGTAAGCTCGGAAGTCATCGGAGCCTGCACAGTAGAGATGATCATTGCCCATTCCAGGGCCGCCGAATGATCCATGCTGGGAGGACACTGTTTGCTATCTCAGGCGGACTGTGCGACAACGTGCGCCCGCACCTTAATCGTGCATCCATTCGAATATGTCCGTTCTGCTGAGTGTTCAAGCGGCCCGGTAGAAAGAGCTTCTCCACTGCAGACAGCGATAGGGTACGGATCAGTCACGGAGTAGATTGTCGGTAGGTAGTGCTAGGACAGTATGAGCGATCTGACACCCAGGACTCGTTATCATATTATGCTCACCATCATGGTAGCTGCCAGCTTGGTTCCTGCGTAAGGCGTCAAGCAGATGTCATGTAGCATGAGACGTAGCAGTCATCTAACCTGTGCTGTCGAATGTTACGCTGCTCACTTCTGGATTACAAAGCCATGGAAATGACGGTTTCGTAATGGTCGTCACATACTGCGTAGCCGATGAGCTCTGAATGGGCACTCTGCTCCTGAGAGCCACTTACGGTTTGAACGATGCCATTCTGCCTTCTCCGGCACAGGGGACCAAATGCAATGCGCGTGTCCCGTAGACAGACTTGTCCCCGACTGTCGCTTGTCACAAAGATGTTGTGCATAGTCGGGTGGAACTGGAGCCCAGTGAACTCTGCATCGTGCTGCAGTGTACCTTGCGCTCTCGTGAGGCGGCTGTCGGCCCTAGCGTCGTGCATGATGATGCGGCCATCTTCCCTAACTCCTCGGTTCACTCAGCAAGCGCGGATGGTACACCGCCAGCGCACTTACCCGGCGCTCATGAAGATGTCATCTTGTTCAGGATGACAGGAGATCGCACGGATGCTGTCCTACCAACATGAAGATGAGTTCGTTAGTGTGTGTTATATTCATCGCCACACCCTGAACTACCTCATGCTGCCTGAATACGGCGTCTGGAGCATGCGACTTTTGTGGTCCAGGAGGTGCTGATTCGATGCCCAAGTCATACCGGATAATGGCATTATCTGTATCCCCCCTGATTTGCGAAAATGAGAAGTTTTATCCAATCCGGCGATAAGCTTCACTCACGTATATAGGTGCTGGTTCGTCGCAGAGAAAGCGACAGCAAACACATTCGCCTGCATGGGCCAACAAAGAAGGTTTAACGGAGGTCGCTCCAAACAGCGATGGACGCACTGTGTGGCCATGAAACATCCGTGATGGGGTATGCAGGTCGTCCTGGTGGAAATCCCAGAGCAGGATGTGAGGATCTGCGAGATTGAGTGAATACAGCAGAGCTCTGCGACAAGCAATTCAGAACTGCGTACCATCGCCACCGCTAGCAAGCCACCTGCCATCCCCATTAGAGAATGCAAGGGAGTTGACGCATGAAGCATGCCCTCGAAGCCTCCTGGAACACAAAGTCTAAGAGATTAGAAGTTCACTCATCTGGAGATGTTTCACCTTGAGAAAGGGAATCCCCTCTCCATCAAACGGTCCATCTTATAAATCCTATGTCGTTTGAGCACCGATGGATCAGAGTGACTTGACGGTCCAAGAGGCAGTCCAATCCATTGCGGATGCCACGCAGACATATTGTCCAGCACAGATGGGCGGATACAGATAATATATGTAATCTTTTACGACCATAGAATCATATCAGAGGATGTGCGAGCACTGCAGACGAAAGTGTACATGGAAGTAGGAATTGGCTGTGGCCATGAGCATGTGGCCGGGATGCACTTTGTAGTAACTCCTACTCATTCCGATACACAATCAAAGCATTGCATGTTGCCGCTAATTTGCGTCTAGATCACAGCAACAACCAAGTGACTGAGGTACCGCGAATGCAAAGTACTGTCGACCCAGCCAGCAGTGCGTAGAATAGCTACAGCATGTCCAACGAAATGTATGCTTGGGCAACAGCGACAAAATCACCGACCAGTCAGCCAATCTCTCAGCATCTCCAGCTTCGCGTATCCCCTCTCCCCAGTGAACCCGCCCACTACGAGGATTAGATGCGCAAGGGACATCGCCGCGATGACTGCGATGACAGACGACAGCGAATACGTCTTTTCCGGCTGCTTCGTCTCCTCGAATATCACCTTGGATGGCTCGGAGTGTTCTTCGGCGACGGGAGTCATAGGTTCGCCTAGTGGAGGACGAGCGGGCTCGGTAGACTTCAGTGTAGATGGCATGTTGAGGCACGAGAATAGGCCAGCGTTCAGCAGGTACACTTTGTTCGCCTCCTCGATAAGAGCCGCTTAGAGATTGGGCGTCATGAACTGCAATAAGCAATGTAATAACCGCACGCAGCACATACCTTTAAGCTCTCGGTTGTCGCCGACCGACTTATCCATCTGACGCCGATACCACTCCTTTATCTTCTTCATGTCACCCATGTTCGCGCGCTCCATGCCATCGAGCTGCTTGAACTCGAAGAACGAGACACCTGCTCCGTCAGTTAAGTCGTACGCCTTGACGATCCTGTTCCTGATGATCTGGCCACCACTGAGATCGCCGAGGTACCGCACATATGCATGCGCCAGCAGAGGCGCAGGGTCGCCAGACCGCGCGATAGACTGTATCTGCGAGACATAGTCGGTGAGTGCAGCCGGAGGGTCGTCCATCAGTGCGGCATGTATAGGATGTGGCTTCCAATCGGTCGTCCGGAGAAAGTGGCTTATGTCTGCGGAAAGACTTGGTACCCGAGCGAGCAGAACAGGATTGTGTACGATCGACAACACTGGATGCGTGGCATGCTGCTCGAGCCCCTGCTCGAGCGCGCTAGGAGACTCTCGGTGAGCTGTTCGCGCATAGGAAGCTTGCAAAGATCACACACTCATACACGTGCCACAGCATCATCATGAACCGGACATACTCCTCCCTGTCTAGCTCACCCCGAGCAAGCCACGACGCGCCACGACTCTTCTCGACTGCATCGTGCGCCGCTGCGGTGCTAATGCGCAGCAGAGTCGAAATTGGCAACGAGAAGTCGATTTCAACGGCAGACTGAGTCGCCATTATCAAGACACGAAGATACACGTAGGAGGAAGGGAGAGAAATGAAGTAAAGACAGGAAAGCGGGAATATAAAGGAGACGCAAGCCCAGCTGCGTGACGAATTCAAGTTGAAGCGGAACGCGAGAGGGACAGTCAATGCAACCGCGGCTGTAGTGAGGTCCAGGCGATCATATCTTATCAGATAAACTACCTCAGCCACTCAGGCACATCTATCTCGTTGCCTCACGGCAGACACATACGGATGTCCGACTAGCTATGCAGATGAGTCACATTATGTTGAACAAGGACTAACAGACGTGAGTCTAAGGTAGGTGGTTCACACTCAGCGGTGAGTGGGCTCAAGGTTGGTGACTTCGGGAAGATGCCGGAAAGATGAAGCCTAAAGGAGAGTACAGTGTCCCTCAAAGGAAAGCAGATCCAGAAGGATACGTAATATTACGGCGACTCTGCAGGGAAGAGCTGCGATTCGGCATCAGTCAGCTACCATTAACTCCGGTAGTACAACTTCATCACTTACCCTGACAGCCTTTACATCTCTGGAGATGTGCCCTGGCGGAGTAGACATAGGCCTCGCAAGCTCCCTCGCGGCCGTGCCCACATCCTCCGGCTCTGCGCGAGAATCCTCGCTCGATTCGCAATCGTAGTCAAGCAAGGTATCGCCGTAGAGGATTCTGTGAGCAGAATAGCCCAGGCCTTCACCCGTGAGCTCGCTCGGAGGAACGATGGTAAGCTTCTTGGCCTTCCTGATGCGTCCACGACGCGATGTGGGTGGCATATGTGGTGGTGGTGTCGATGTATAGGCATGTGGGGATGGGGAGGAAAGAGCCTCGCGGGCATTCGGTTCGCCGTCGACGTCGTCCCTTGACGTCGTCCCTTGACAAGATGCGGGTGATTCTTCGCGATCTACGTGTGAGAAGTCAGCACATGCAACGGAACGAACCGAAGCGTTACCAACCATTGCGATGTGCGTACGTACAGTCGTCGCCTTCTGTGCAGTGACCTGCGAGGTAGTCTCGGCACACTTTCCCTGCAAATTGGCAATGTCAGACATTGCCTATACAACACCTGCCGAGATGACCTACGTTGGCCGCCCATCATGACGCCACCACCAATTACACGCCACATCACAGGATAAAAGTTCTTCTTGTGACATTCCTCCAGCGGGCTGGGTGGCTTCACGGGCAGCGCAGATCTCTGCGATATCTCATTGTTCTCCGCATCGTCATCGACAGACAATGATCCCTCCGCGTTATTGCAAATGGTGGTTACCCGAGATTCATGGATGCTTTCGAATGGATCAGTTCGGATGGGAATCCCCAGAAAGTATGGATGGACCCACAAATTGCACCTGTCACCCTTGACACAGGAACCGTTAGCGGCATAGAACTTGCAGGGCTTCGCTATTAGGTGCATCAGGCTTCGCACTGCTGCGAGAACTGGAAATGCTCACTCCTATACAAGCTTCTGTACGAATGAGCTTGACCTTGGGCGCGCGAGTTCGAAGAAGAGGATGATGGGGACCTTCCGCCTGCTAGCTCGCTTCTGTCCTGCGTGAAAGCGGAAGCACTGTTTGGAGTTGATGACGTAAAAGGCGGTGCAGGAGGGTAGGCGTGGCCGACAATGTCTACGACTGTATGCATGCCGCCGAAGCCCATTGGCGATATCGGTGATGCCTCCTCAGTATGTATGCTAGCGGCCTCAGACGATGAGGCATCGAAACTCGATGCATCTGATGCCGCTGATGCCGGAGACGCGGGCATCATGACGTTGGAGTATTGGGGGAAGGCCGCGTCTGTGGGGGACCACACGGGATATGGCGATGGGGCAAAGTATATCGGGGACGGCATGTAGTATGGCGGTGAGGACACGCAAACCGGCGAGTATTCATGCGCGTACGAACAGTACCGTCCCAAGGGGGTATGGCTGAGAGGGTAATTGTAACCAGGCTCCGCTGTTATATGCGAATCCGATGAGTAGGTTCACGAGAACGCGCTTAGGCTACGGCTCACTGCGAGAAGTCGGATGCAGATGGCGCTTGAGCACATAGTCTGCGACTTTGCAGCCTTGTTTTTGCTCGTAAACAGTCGGCCCATTCCCGAAGCTCATGATAAGTGAGGTCATTGGGTAGCTCGAGTGCGCTCTATAAAACAATCTCAGCCAGAGCCCAGGATGCATATAACCACATCCTACTCACCCGCTTCAGCAACAGACGAAAGAGCGGAATGTCCTCACATTTCCTCCCATCCAGCGCACACTTATAACTCAGGTGCGAGACTCGAAACTTGGCCATAACGCCCCCTCGCGCTTAGTCATATACGAGTATCCGTTCGGTCGATGCGCTTTTTTGTACGCGGCGACATCTCGATCTCTTGAAAACCAGATCGAAGCTGGCCGAACAAAGCGCGAACAATAAGACGAGCCTGCTGAGAGCACATTCCGACGCTGGCCACGTTTCTGCTCGCAATTGTCCTCTACGGCATTTGCAAGCGGACAGACAGGTAAATTAACGGGCATGTCGAGGTAAGGCGAGTAGCAGCGACTTGCCTCTTTCCCTGTCATGACGACGTTGAGAGTGAACCAGCGGGGAACCCGCCTGTTCTGGCCACACGGTTCCTTGTGGCTGGATAACAATAAGGAAGATGCTAAGCCATCTAAGGAGAAAAGTTGGAAATCGCGGGAATCAAGGAAATTTGGTGATTCTGGATAGAGCGATTCTGAGCGGCGAGTCCTTTACAGGCTGTCGAGCTCCCAAGACTAAGATCTGGTTGAGATGCGGCTTTTGTTCAAGTCTATCAAGAGTGCTGCGCAACTGATGAAGAGATTGTTTCGCGTGAAGTGCAAGCGCACAAGGAGGCCGCAAGGCAGCTGACAATGTACAATGACCATATACCAATGAACAAGCGAGAGGAGTGAGCCTCCGGCAGTCGGAGACGGCGGCGGATAAGAGGAGAGATATTCTTTGGATATCGCTTGTGCAGGTAGAAAACGAAGCAGATTACAGCCATTGAGTGGAGGATAGTGAACTCATTAGCTCCTAAGCTATACCGAACACCCGAACAAGACTTGAACATTAAGCATTTAAATGACGTTCATTACCGTACATTTCGTTTGAGACTTCTCCCTTGATTGACAATCCTATGCATTCATTGAATTAGCATGATGGTAGGTTCTTGCTTGTAGGGTATGGATCGTGAGGGTCGTAAGTGATACAGGGGGCGTGATGATGATACAGATGAATGCGGCAAAGAGTTAAGAGTTGTGTGGGGTCATGACTCTCCACTATGCCGGTGAGCAGTGTTGTCCTGCAGCAGGGGCGTCCGTTCGGAGGGCTCAGGCGATGGTGAGGTGGGTGGCAATGGTGAGGTGGGTGGCAATGGTGAGGTGGGTGGCAATGGTGAGGTGAGTGGCAATGGTGAGGTGGGTGGCAATGGTGAGGATGCAGGTGCCGGAGTGGACGCGTGGTCATCAGCCTCGGAATGAAGTTCAACGGGGGCATGGTGTGATGGAGGAGGGTGAGATTGTGTTACGTCAAGCTTGCAGACGGGGCACTACGCAAGAGATGCTATCAAAAAAAATTACAGCTTGCCAAGATGAACGGCATGCCTACCAGTTTCTTTTTGTGTATCAGCCATTCGTCCACCTCATCCAAATGGAACATGTGATAACACGGCAGCACGCGGACGCGGTCGCCCTTCGCAAAGTTCTCTAGGCAGATCGCGCATTCATCCTGCTCCTCGACCCATGCGGGGAGCTCGACGTCATGCGAGGTCGACGGATGTGCGTCCAATGGGAGCCCCTGCTCGACATCGCGCTCAGCATCGGCGTTCTCGAGTGGGAAGGTAGGCTCATGCTTCTCCCAACCTGTACCTGTCCAAACACGCCATGGGAAGCTGTGCACAATGTCCTCGGGAGCACGGTCACGCTGTGCCGCACGAACTGCGCGGAAGCGATGCACAAGAAGCGTGATGAAAGTGAGAAGGGAGGGAAGGAGGAGGATGATTACGAAGGTGATAAAAGGCCTGAGACAAAACAGTCAGATTTTAGTGTGGACTGCGAGAAAGTGGAACCCACGAATACCATTCCCAGGCTGAGAACTCCGTGCTCAGCAGAATAGAGTGAGTCTTGAGCCCGCCGTGGGTCGTGTTTGAAGAGGAGATCATGGACAGCAGCTCAACGTAGTCCCAATACTTGATGAACGTGGCAGCGATCGTCACATCGGAAGAGTCGCCTGTATGAAAGGTAATGTTACCGTCCTCCGTACGGTGATTGCGTCAACCAAGACCTACGTTCGCTGTACATGTTCAAGAGAGCATCTGGATTCTCTTTGTCTCCACCAACTACCACTGCTCGTGCCCCGAGACGCTGAGCCTGCCGCGCCTTCTCAACAAAGGGGCAGCCGCCTCTCTGCACGAGAGCGATCCAGGACTCGGTCGGGTCGGGTTTGTGAGGACCGCTCGCACATAGTTCCGGGCAGCCCTGAATGGGATTCGGCTTATAATAATGAGACGAGTTTGCAGAGGGGTCGAGCGGGCAAGGTGCAGTGAATGCAGAGAGCGGGATCACATAGCCCAGGAGAGGGTCAATCAGCTCCGCACCGAAAGAAGCGGGGCGAGCGGGAAAGGTGACGGGTGGCGAGCGGTCGACGATGGACACGGTGCCATCCGAGGCCCATGCCCAGCCCCAAAGCCAGCTGCCGTCCTCCCTGGCGCCGCTGGAGAGTTTGTATAGCCAGTCAACGGGATGTGCATGCGCGTGTACCGCAAGATGGGCGAAAAGTACGAGGAGCGTGAGGAGGCGAATCATAGGTTGTACGACGGGACGCTGGAGATGTCGAGCAGCATTAAAGGTGGGCTGGTAAGCCATGGTCGAGCCTGATGATGAGGGAGTGCACTGGGCTCGCCCGCGCCCTCGTCGTCGCAGTCTGTGCTTGGCTGAATTCATCTTTGAATCTCGACGACCCGGCGTTTGCCGGTGCCCTACTCCACCACGTTCCAGAACAGGCTCTGTCTGCCTCACGCTGTGTCGGCCATCCATCTGCCGGAGGACACAGAGCACAGAGAGATGCGGAATTATTCAGAGAATACTTCATAACGATACACTGCAATGACGACATGATGTGCTACATTGTACAGACAATGCGCGGAATCGCCTATTACTGAGTGTCCTTCAAGCATGCATGCAACGCTTCGGTCGAAACGAAGCCATAATTCTCACTGTATATATATGCGTGTCTCATAGTCCATACGGAATGGGTGCGTCTAGTAACCGCGGGTCGCTCGTGATAAGAGGTATTGTGTAGTCGGATGCCGAGAACGTCTGCCCTGCGCCATCGCTCTCCCAAGAATCGGTTGTCAGACGAACGGGCACCACTTGCCGTAGTTCGTGAAACGGTGCCCGACTAGGATCTGGCGGAGTCATGGACAAGACAATGAAATCTCTGATGGTCAGCCCGCCCGCCTTGAATCCTCCAATGCGAATTTGATCGCTGACGCAGATTTCTCCAGAATACGATGTCCAATCGGGTCCATCACCCTGCAAATAATGGTTAGCCGACCTATAGGGAACAAGAAGGAGCAGATTTCGCTCACTGCGTGCCGGAAAGCCGCGTCCCCAATTTCTACGGTACGCCAGATGTCGGTCTTTGTGCCAAGGACTAACTGCCCTCTACCGAATGAATGGTTAGGATTTCAAATATACATGGCCAGCGTAGTGCACACGTACCTGGCGTCGACGTTCGTCTGCCTGAGCAGCTGCACGCGAGTATGCTGTCGGGCACCTGTCCGGGCCCCGGTCGGGCCAAACGGGAGAAAAGCTGCAAGGGAGGACGGTGTCGACGCAAAGATGAGGTGGAAAGGAATCGGCTCTGCCATGGAAAAAACGCGCGCCGTTGGGATGTAGAACTGCAAGCGACGTGAACGGAAGCCGTGCTCCTATTTATAACCGCTAACACGTACTCTGGCAGTGATGTCCTTCACACCTGCAACCTTGGCCGTCATCACCGTCTCGTAACGCCGCCAATCCGCGGCGCTCAGCATACCATGTGGTCCGGGCGAGCGCAGGATTGGCGGCGGCAGCGGTACGGCGGGGCGGGAGCGGGGATAATAGACGAACGGAGTAGAAACCGTGCTGCACGGCTGCGCGCTCGAGATATGCAGGAATTTACGCAAAGAGTCGATCCTCACCTGTTGCTGCTACGGAGCAGGCCCGACGATCTACCTTTCTGCGCGACAGCAGTTATGATATACTCTATCACGGCATGGAAGCCGGGCACGCCAGACAGCTGTGCCTCGTGTGTAGGCGGGAGAGGCTGCCTTGGACTTTCAGCTGGTGTGCGGATTGGGATAGGACATTGAACGAACGTATGTGTCTCTGCCGTCTGTGAAAGAGGGAGGAAGTGCCAAACTAAATGGCAGGGAAGGAGGGCACTGCCCGGGTTGGGCGTCTCTGCCCCATAGCGTCACGGTGGACGCACATAGCTTCGTTGCGGTCGTGCCACCCTCCGCAACCTCTTTGAGCCGCAAGCTGCCCTCAATCTGCAGTGCTTCAGTTATTCATGACTTGGAGTGACCTTGCGGCACTCACTCGGACCTCCACGCTCGTTGTTGTCTCCGGTTTGGAGAGGGTCACGGTGCCCTCCACAAAATCACCGCACCCATACGCAGGCAGATTGGCGCTACTGTCCTGGCGACTGAGCCACAGACTGAGCCCTCCTGAGCGCGAATGCTTGACAAAATCACCAGATGGCCGTCGACGGAGGCGGTTGAGCGCGATGCGCTGTTCCTGGGCGTGTGGCTCGGCGGAGTAGGGTGGGGTGCAGGCGAGGGAAGAGGACCTGTACCCGGGCAGGGGGCCTGTCGTCGACATGGGGGGCCGTTAGACGACGGTAGGGGCATTTGGAGGACGAGTCAGGGCTTTACTAAGTGAGTTGTGCCGCCCAAGTATGTGGTCCATATGGACTGCACTTCGGCATTGAGTCGGGAATTCCGGAAGACATGTGCATGCGCACAGTTTATCTCCGGATTCCGCCCTAGGTTCCCTTGCCAAGGGTCCCGATGTCTCTCCGCGTGGCCGCACAGCTTGCAGCGCCAGATGGGACGCACAGCCTCAGCCGTGTCCCCGACCGGCATGCCCACCATCGCCATGCTGCACAGGGCTTCGATTCGCGGATACTCTATCGACGCGGAACGATTTACGTGAAAAAGCGAGCCAGAAAAGCAGGCCATCAGCGACTCGACCGCCACGGCCACATGGATGGCGAGATGTAGGATCATGTGGAGGTCTTCGCACGATGGTTCATCCCGCCTTCGGTCACTTCGACTCCAGTCTCGGTGGCGCCCGTCCCAAATGCATGTCCCACCCGCACTATTTTGGCCGCAGGGCCGCAATCATATTTACTTGCTACTAGTGTACGTATAGATCTCAGTCGTATGCACTGTCCGGAACACTTTCCTTCGCCACGTCGCAAACCACGCACTTGTACCGCTTCATCAGCGCTCAGCCCTCACGGACGCAGGCGCACGCACGTTGCACGCTGACTCCACTTCGTCAGCGCTATGCCTCCGCGGCTGACGCTGCAGAAGAGCATGCGTGCGACTCGGTAGTAAGCCGTACAGGTATCGTCTCGCAAAACGCCTTGAATGGCGTCCGCGAACCATCTGGCGGTTTGATGCACACCACGATCCCATCCTGTCCTCGATTTGTCAGCCTCTATTCTGACGACACTAGAAGAACTATCGCTCACCGAAACCCTCACGCCTGTAGCCTCAAATCCGCCGTTTCTCACATTGGCTGAAAGCGTTACAGCCCCAGCCCAGGTAATGGACCTCGCGTTCCTGCTGGTCTTGTGTACGACTCCTTGGCCGATTACTTGTGAGGAGAATATATGGCTGCTCTGTGACATCTGAGGAACACCGGTGCAGAGCACGTCGACCGCCGTGGTTCGCTTCATGTGAACTTGGAGCGGGAGTCCGCTCTTGCCGATGCCAGTGCGCGATATCAGCTGCTGCGAGACGGAGTGGAGGGACGTGTGTGACGGCGAGGACAGGGGATGAAACGACGAGGGTGCTGGGCGATAGCAAGTAAATGGGGAAAGGACATCTTCGTCCGCGAATAATGTTACAAAGAACGGTATGGGCTCTTTAAGGCTACAGATCTGCGACATGGGTAAAAATACCTGGTATTCAGGCAAAGGTTAGGTAACGGCCGTTACTCATGGGAGGACATCACTGACATGTAGCTCGATTGCAGAGTGACCAAGACGTCGAGGTCCGAGAGTGTACGTGAACAATGTGCGAGGGTATTCCCGCGAGGCCGCCGGACTTAGGCGAAAGGGCCCTGCGCGAGGTGGCCGAGAATACTGCTGTATCGCGAACGGCACGCGGAGGCTAATCGACCGAGTCAGACCTGCCAAGCCTAGGCAGCTTACGAGCTCTCCTCACCAACTTCTCTTGCGCCACAGAGGCGCCTTGCGTTCCCCACGAACTATGTCCACTGTTATCTGATACGACACATGCATCGTGAATCCCGGGATGCCGGCAAGGTGGGTCTGATACGTTGGAGGCAGGGGACGCCGCTCGCCGGACGTTGCATCCAAATGTGCGCTAGGAAGGGTGTACTGGAATGAGCATCTGGTCCCCAGCGGAGCATCTCTCTGGCAATTCCACGAATACACCAGGTCGTGCAGCAGTTGCACGAGGACAGTTCCGGAGCCTGCGACTTCTCGTATTCTGATTTGTCCATGCACCTAGCCGGGGTAAGCAGATGCGCATTCGGCGAAGACATATAGGCTTTACCTGCACGTCGAGAGAAAGCACCTCGTCCGGTTGAAAGATGGTAATGACTCCATCTATCGTGCCTCCGCTACGGTAAACAGGGATGGGGGCGCCTGGCTCTTGGCCGCCAAGCTGGACGGCCACCTCACGAGAACGCTGAACGAAATATGCCAAAGAAGTTCCTGGCTGGGTTGCAATTCCTCGGGGATCATGACGCGCTTGAGCTAATGGAAGCGCTAAGCGTTGCTCAGAGATAAGGAGCGCCTCGTTGGACTTGCGGTCGGGCCACTGCTCCTCGTCTTCGTCGCTCGAGAGCGAGCTGGCGTAGTATTGCACGCTGGCGAAGGGATGGCGCATTGCGGTCGGTGCGGTCGTGGCGGTGAGAAGACGGATTGGAGGTCATGAGGAGCTGTCCGCGAAGATGATGCAAACAATCAAGTTGGTGATTCGGATGGACGATGGGAAACAGCGTATGGGGAGGCTTCTTTGGCCATACGGCTGTGTCCAGAACCTAGCGCGACATGCTCCGAGGATCAGTCTATTGCAAACCTGGGAGATTGATTGGACTTGTATTCAGAGTGGGTCATTAAAGAGGTCAGATGGGTTTACGAGCAAAATCGTCGCGGCAGGTATCAGTCAGTAGTGTGTGATGCGCGTCAAGTGGTTGATGCGTCCCCATGCCGGGAACTGATACCCTCGGGCAGCAGCAGATCAGGATCAATGGATGATTGCTTGGCTTTCCACGACCCGGCGGTATCGCTTTCCAGTCATCTACGTACAACAAGACCCATAAGTGTGCGGCGCTGATTCTCAACTAAACGGTGGAGATCTCACCTTTCACTGATGGTATGATGGACAGTTCGAAAGGCGGCCCCGAGGTCGCTATGCCAAAATATCGTGTGCAGGTAGCGGTCAACGAGAGTTGGATCTGTGCCGTCCAGAACATCGTATCAAGACTCGATGTCAGGCCTGTGCTCGCTGCTAATTCCAAGAGGACGAGCTGAGTACTACAAGAAAGAGCTCGGCGCTAACTTTATACTGTGGTCTAAACTGATCAGGCAAGTATGACGTCGTAGTAGTCAACTAGAACTAGGGTCCATTCGGCATATAAAGGAGCAGTGCTCTCAGTTCCTAACCCTCTTTACTATCTAGCTTTTCACATCATGACCTCGAACCCGTCGCAATCATCAGAGACGCAGGCAGATGTACGCATTCCAGCAGTGGTCGCATAAGGCCGTTCATGATGTCGTAATAGAACCAGACCACCGAGCAGCGCGTCGAGGAGAATCCGCAGCGACCGGCAGCGGCAGCTGCAGCGACTGAGAATGCCACTCGAGTGGAAAATGCAACGCAGAGTGTGTCACTGTTTTTTCTCAAGCTTCAGATTTTGCACCACTCACGTTCAAGTGCACTCAGCACCCGGTCCTCAGGCGGCGGGGACGCAAGCTGGCGAGCCTCCAATTGTTCACCTCCCACCAAAACGCAAGCCATCGTTTACTGAGGAGGTAATAGGCAAGTCAACGCCTTGACAGATCTTTCAATGAATCATCGCTCATCGTGCCGGGGCATGACAGGATATGCCAAGGTATATAATCCGTGCATGCTGCTTTCTATACCCTCATGACGCTATCTTCTGCTGCATTCAGGAGATCCGGGGAACGGTACGTGACTCCGCAGAATAAAAAGGACACTCCTGATCTCATTCTTTCCCCAGATATTGCGGGATGTATGTCACTCAACTCATTCTATTGGACGTGCCATTGACAGCTTTACTACAGGCGAAGACCAAGGAGGAAGGGGAGAAGATTCTGAGGGGTGAGGAGGTATACCCTCCCGCACGGAAAGAGTGAACGCGCGAAGTTGCCAGATCATGGAATCGCAACCTGGTTATGTGCACCTCCGCCTCCTCGATGGTTTGAGTGCAGCGGATTTCACGGCATGTAAATGTGGCAATACGAAGTGTAGCGCTATCACGATACCATGCGCCGCTAGTGGTACTCAATTCGTAGTATTCCTTTCCTGTAAACGCCCGCGGTGGCCTTGAAGGATACAATTTTTACGACTTACCGAACTCTATCCACTGTCAACGTCCATGCTGGGCCGGAGGGCCGCGCAGACGCGGCCATGCAAGCTTATGGCTTCAACGCATTGATGGACGCTGTTGTCCGAGTCGCTGCCGTCTGCCGTCTTGAAGTCATAGTCCACAACTGATCCAAGCTTGAGATTTGCACTGAGAGTACTCGTTCATTACTATACAATAGGTAAACAAGCCGCGAAGACGATGAAGACAAAGTTAAACAAGACAAGTAGACGGTCAACAGCACGCAGCGACCAGTCAATCGGGTGACTACGGTGACTGTCCACGTATACTCTAAAAACAACATGGACGGAATAGAAGAAGACCAATCAATAAGGCATCAAAAATAGATGTACAACGTGCAGGCTACGATGCGCTCGGGCATGTCTTCCTTCCGCGAGCCCGGCCCCACGATGAGATGTTGTCAGGTACAGGTCGGGCGTCTTGTTCCGTAGCGGCAGGCTGCTCAACGGGCTTATCTTTGAAAGTCAGGAGGCCGTACAGCGAAGCAATTTGATCGCCCTGGACGGAATCGTCAGATCATCAAGAAAGGCGACATCGACAAGCATACTTTTTGTTCCAGGATGTCGATCACTTCGCGCAGGTGCCCGGCCACGACATTGCGCTTCGCGACGTTGGAGACCGCATCCATCTCTTTGTACTGTTCAGCCAACTCTACGTAAATGCTGAGAAATTATGAGACCGATTAGGTGAAAAGGTGGGTTGAACTCGAGCATTCGCACCTCTTATAATGGGTGAAATCGTCTTCTAGCTCCCTAACCACCCGCGTCAGTACGGTCTGCGGCGGTATCTCATCGCGCTGATGACCACCGCTTCCGATGCCATCATCGGAGCCCTCCGCAAAGCCTTCGTCATCGCCGTCATCTTGTGCCTTCTTTCCAAGTTTACGATAATCCTCCTCCATCCAGAAGTCCGCATGATCCTCAGCCTTCTTGCCTGGCGCGCGATTCCGGCGACGGCGGTGGCACACTGTACATGTCTGCGCATTATGCTCGGGCGCGGAAAAGAAGAGGCGTTCGAGGTGCGCGCCGCGGATTTGTGGGAACGGCGCATCAACGGGAGGGTCTGCATGCCGCTCAGGCGCACGTCGAAGGGCTTCGTCGCGCCCGGCCCTCGTATGCATCTTCTTGAGCGCGATACCAGGCGTAGGTGCCATAGGACGCGAAGGAAGCTGCCCCGCATTTCTCGGCGGCGTGTTTGCGGGTCGGTCACCAGATGTCCGACGTGGGTTGAAAGCGACAGAGGACTTCCGCTCGTCTTCCATGCTCTGGTGGCTGGTGGCCGAGGAATGCGAGATCCGGGCGGAAAGCGCGGGTGAGACTGAGCGAGAGGAAATCCGCGAATGTGAGCTGCTTGAGGAGCGACTGCTTGCTAAAGACGCCGACCGGTCGGCACGGCGCCCATGGACGTCAGCGTAGACCCGTTCAGCATCATCGGTGTCAATAAGGGGACGAGTAGTGGGATCGTTCAGTGGTCTCGAAGATCCAACTGGTGCGATCTCAGCGCGCGTAGTGTGGTCCGGCACAGGAATAGTCGGGGTAGGTGCGCGATGTCCTCGAAACATTGAACCATCATCGCCATCATCCTGGCCATCATCAACTCCAAATATAGCTGAATCTTCCTGATCATGCCTCTGCTGTTGCACAGAAGGCTCGTCATTCTGAGTTTCCATGGTCAGCTCCTCAGAAGGCTCAAGAATAGTTGCCTCCTGCGGATCCCGTTCGTTCCGCCTTTCCTTGAGGCCCTCCTCTACCACACCCCTCAAGACCTCTACCTCTCCAGCCAAACGTTCCACTTCTGTCCGCAGGTTGTCCATGTCCTTTCCTTTCTCTGCCAATGCACGAGCATCAACGTCGCGCAGCATGCGGAGCTCATTGAGAAGCTGCTGGTGATCGGAGAGCTCGGAGGTGAGACGGGACAGGTGGTTGCGTAGAGTTCCGATCAGCGCCTCCAAAGCTGGGACTCCAAGTCAACCGGAGTACGAGCTTGGTGGTAGCGAGACTCACCTTTCTTCTCTTCCACTGCTTGCTTGTACCTGGTCTCCGTCGTGAAAGGTTCCTCACAGCGGATTTCAGGGTCTACGTTGTGACCCAACCCGTTAACGGTTGTTTGCCTGCATGGGACACCAAGCTTGTGCCTCTCCCTCTTAGCAGCAGCAGCAGCAGCATCACGTGAAGCTTGCACTTCTTGCTCGAGTAGTCTCGTCCGCTCTCGAGCTACCTCTTTCTTGCAGGTTTCCAGCTCGAGCTCCAACTCATTCATTCGCCGTCGAGAAATGCTATTTTCAGATTCAAGGAATGCAAGCTTGGACTGCACGGCATTGAGAGTGGCGATGAAGCGAGCTAATGGAAGAAAATGATATATTGTCATCAAACACACGTTTAAAGCGACAATAAATGGGCTTGCCGGCATGCTGCCCGTCGTCCATGGCATTATAATCGTAGTAGTCCATACCCGCCTTTGCAGGGGATTCGACAGCGCTGGTCAGACCGGTCACATCCGGCAGGTAGATACGGCCTTTGGATACGTTCGTAGTCTTAACGTTGGAGGCATGGACTGAGCGTGACGGAGCTTGATTCACGAGGTTTTTGAAGGGGCCCCGTTCCTTCGCCTGTGTTGCCACTCGTGCATCGCGTCGCGTGGTCGGTACTACCGGAGCCCTAGCGGCACTACGTTTCGCGCAAGCCTCAGCTTGTTGCCTCTTTTCCGTCTGGATCTCCTGTACGAGCTTGCGTGCCATGTCCACAAAGTGAGAGCTGCTCGGAGGCGGCGGCGTTGGCGGTTGTACCGTCACCTCTGGGTCGGGCTGCGCATACGAAAGAGACGTTTGGTACAACCCGACGGGTGAGCGCAGGCCAGTGGTAGGTTTGTTGGGTCGAGGGGCAGATCGTTCGTTATTGAACAAGGAAGGGTATGTTGTCTGCGGTGGGCTCCTCGATCGCTTTGATTGCAAATTTGCGCGCTGATTATTGACAGAAGGGCGGGATGAGCCATTCGTAGGCGCACTACGGGGTCGCTTGGGAGAAAATGTAATGGCATTGAGTGCATCAGAGAGTTTGGGTCTGGACGCCGGGGAATGATGCCTAGCAGAGCCACTGTCTGATTCTGACGTGGATGATGTAAAGGAAGAGATCGGCGAGCGCACTGCTTCATGGCGTATCGGAGGATGGCTCGATAAGAAAACCTTGTCCAGACCGGCCGGGTCATCCACGACCAGAGGATCGAAAGCGATAGCATCAGGGCCCTGCAATATTAACGTTCGGAATCAGACACGTAGCCACCAAAGATTTGCGGAAGCTCGACAGTAATACGAGCAAGAGTGAGAAGGTATCTCAGACGGAATATGCACGCACAAGCTGCTTATCCTTCACAGGGTCCATCCCAAGGGCACTGAAGTGAGCTTCAAAGCCAGCCATGATGCCTTGCAAAGGGCGGTCTGGGTCGTACTCGGCACCACTAAGGCTAACATCCCTCCTGGATCCTCGACCTGCAAGCCCGGCACTCAGAGTGAGTGCACTTGCGTGATGGGCGGCTGTGGACATTGTTTCACCACCGTAGGGGTTTACGGTGTCACCCGGGTCAAAAGATTGATACGACCAACCGCCGAGTTGGCTGTGTTCGCCGGCTTCGAGGTGATCGCCAGAGCGTTGCTCGAACGACGCAAAGACGGTGAAAGGTGAGGGTGCGGGGTGGTTTCTGGGGTATTCAACGTCGGAGAAGTCGTCTTCCGGAGCAGAAGAGAGATGCAAAGACAGATCGGTGTGCTGTAGATTGCGTTCTAATAATATTCGGTTCCGCTCGAGCTCGTCGCCACGGATGCTGAACTCGAGGTTGGCTGAGCCCCTCGACATGTTCGGCGCGGAGGTATCGCAAAATTAGAAAGAAGTGATGTCGCAGGCGAAATAAGCGAACGGAAGCCAATCAAGAGTTGCTCGATGGAGGCGCAGCTAGAAGCGGCGACAGCATGGAGTCGAAAACGGGCGCTATCCTGTTCAACCACAAACCACACGCGCTATCACGTGGCCGTGTCGATTTTTTGTGGCCCAATCTCATTCGGTCGTGTCTTCCTACTCCCCGCCTCTGCCTCTCGTTCCGCTGCGTCCTGTTTATCTACGACATGGAGGAACAGAAACACAAGGCTCATCACCCATCACAGTCAGGTTCGAAGGCGGAGAAAAAGAGTAAAGCTAAAGACAAGGAGAAGCAGCATGGGTTTAATGAGAAGGTTCGTTTACTTCTTAGTGATAGCATCCTCCGTCTTATGCAACTTTCATACCATAGGCATTTGCACCAAAATCTGGTCGCCGTGCTGATCGCCAGGCTCGACGCAAGGTTGAACGTGACCAAACTCGTCTTCATGTCCCCACTGTGAACCGCACACCTGATGACCATCCTCCTCCCGTCATTGTTGCAATCGTCGGTCCTCCTGGTGTTGGGAAGACTACGCTGCTCAGGTCGCTTGTCCGTCGTCACACCAAACAGACTCTCAGTCACATACAAGGGCCTGTCACCGTCGTCAGCGGAAAGAAGAAAAGGATCACGTTCATCGAATGTAATAACGACCTTAATTCCATGATAGACATCGGAAAGATAGCCGATCTTGTCCTTCTAATGATTGATGGCTCATATGGGTTTGAGATGGTGCGCTGTATGTTTGTATGGGTGTATTTTCTCGGCTGACACAATCATCAGGAAACCTTCGAGTTCCTTAATATCCTGCAATCCCATGGGTTCCCTAAAGTCATCGGCGTTTTAACCCATCTTGATCTGATCAAAAAGGCTGCGACGCTACGTACGACCAAGAAGACATTGAAGAAGCGCTTCTGGACGGAAATCTACCAAGGCGCCAAGCTGTTCTACCTTTCTGGTGTCATAAACGGACGCTATCCAGACACAGAAATTCTGAATCTTTCGCGCTTCATCAGCGTCATGAAGTTTCGTCCTCTGGTTTTTAGAAATTCTCATCCATATCTCCTGGCTGATCGTCTGGAGGACCTTACATCTCGTGAGGAAATCCGTCAGTCGAACGGCAAGTGTGATCGCACCATCACCGTATACGGATACCTGCATGGTACGAACCTGCGCCTCGGTATGAAAGTGCATATACCCGGCGCTGGTGACCTCTCCATGAAGAGTATTTCGGTGCTCAGTGACCCATGCCCACTCCCCGATGCTGATTCGGAGAGGAGACGGAAGTTGAGCGAGAAGAAGCAGCTGCTCATCCACGCACCTATGAGTGATATTGGAGGTATCCTGTATGACAAGGACGCGGTCTACATCAATGTCCCAGGAAACTTTACGCGCGGCGATGCTGATGGTGAGTTTATTAAAGCCATGCAATCGTTCAAGTAACCTATGATACATTCTCCAGCGCCTCAGGGGGAGGGAGAGAAAATGGTAATGGATCTGCAGGACGTGAAAGCGACTCTCGAGGATGCCGTCACTAGAAGCCAAATCAAATTGTTCGGGTCATCGTCGAAGCCTATAGTCGTTGCGGCAGGCCCCAGTAGAACATCCCATGATTCGGATGATGGCCAGAGCTCGGGACAGTACAGCGACAGTGAGACGGAAGATGAAGAGAACGGCGAAGCGGAGCTCGGAATCGGTGCGAAAGAAGACCTAGACGAAGCTGATTCCAGCGGCGAGCGGAATGGTGCATCGTCGCAGGCATCTGATGACGCACGCGCAGCTCGGTTTTCTGGCGATCGTGGTCGTTCTACGCGTCGGAGGGTTCATCGTTCGATGAATGAACTTCCTGCACACGAGGGTCCTGCTAGGGCCATTGAATACGCGGAAAGTGACCGTGACGAAGACATGGAATCTATTCTGGACCGCGTCAGTCCGGTGATGTTCGATGACGATGCCGGTCTCGATCTCAAGAGTGATGACGAAGACATGTCCGACGACGAAGAAGCACCTAGGTGGAAGTCAGATCTAAGAGAGAAGGCCATCACGTCTTTCATGCAGCATTCGAGGAGAGGCAAACGAAAGGATCTGACGAAGATGATCTACATGACCTCCCTGTCTCCCGCGGAGATCATCAACAACGCCTCGTCGACGAAGCAAGGAGACGACCATCCCGACCAACAGCTGGATACGGAGGATTTCTTTAACGTGATCGACAAGGCGTCTCCGGATGTGGAAGATGTTGATATGACTAAAGGAGCTGTACACGCGGAAGACCTCGAAAAGTGGGAGGAAGAGGAACTGCTCGAGTCCATCCGTCATCTTTTCATCACTGGAACAACTGCGGGTGACGATGCTTCTGCGGACAATGAAGCTGTCAACGATGAGCACGTGGACGAAAAGCTAGGGGACGACGACCAGCAAGTTGATTCTATTGCAGATCACGAGAAGCACCGCGCAGCGGCCTTGGTGGCGAAAAAGAAAGCTCTCAAGCGAAAGTTTGACGAGCAGTACGATGACCCAGAAAGTTCGAAAATGGACTTTTATGACGAGCAGAAGGAGCGCATGGCAAAGCAGCTGGAGATTAACCGTGCAGAGTTCGACGACCTTGATGCTGAGACGCGGGCTCTTACGGAGGGATACCGGCCGGGATCGTACGTGCGCATTGAACTGGAGAATGTGCCGTGTGAGATGGTCGAGAGTTTCGATCCGTCCTATCCCATTGTCGTAGGCGGTTTGCTGACCTCCGAGGAACGCCTCGGCTACGTCCAAGTACGCATCAAGAGGCATCGTTGGTACTCAAAAACGCTCAAGACTAATGATCCTCTGATCTTCTCTCTTGGTTGGCGACGCTTCCAGACCATCCCCATTTACTCATTGGACGACCACTCGATACGGATGCGTATGCTGAAGTACACTCCTGATCACATGCATTGCTTTGCAACTTTTTACGGGCCCGTTTCTCTGCCGAATACTGGCTTCTGCGCCTTCAACTCCTTATCGAAAGATGTCGCCGGCTTCCGAGTATCTGCTACTGGTGTCGTGCTGGATATCGACAGGTCCGTCAAGATCGTCAAGAAGTTAAAGCTGACGGGAGTGCCGTATAAGATCTTTAAGAACACGGCCTTCATCAAAGACATGTTCACCAGTGCTCTGGAGGTGGCTAAATTTGAAGGCGCTAACATTCGCACTGCATCGGGCATTCGCGGACAAGTAAAGAAAGCACTCACAAAGCCGGAAGGGTCTTTCAGGGCGACGTTTGAGGACAAGGTGCTCATAAGTGGTACGTTTGAACGGCAGGCGCTCCGTCCTAGTATTGACCTATTGCGCAGATATTGTTTTCCTCCGAGCATGGTTCTCGATTCAACCGCGGAGATTTTACAACCCCGTCACGTCTCTCCTTCTCTCCGACAAGGCCAAGTGGGCTGGAATGCGCCTGACTGGCCAAGTGCGCCGAGAAAAAGGCTTGAAGACGCCGCTCAACGTGAATTCCACCTATAAGCCGGTCGAACGACCAGCTCGTCGCTTCAACACTCTGAAGGTTCCGAGGAAACTGCAGGCCGCCCTCCCATATGCTTCCAAACCAAAGCTCGTCAAGCAACAACATCGACAACCGTACCTGCAAAAGCGTTCAGTTATCCTGGAGGCTGAGGAGAAGAAAGCCATCGCATTGCTGCAGCAGATGCGGGCTCTGCGCAAAGATCAGGTTATTCGACGTAAAGAGAAGCAGGATCAGCATCGGGCCGCCTATCGTAAGAAAATAGAGAAAGATGAGGCAAAGAAGAGCGAGAAGGAACGGGAGAAGCGGAAAGCGTATATGAGAGTAGCAGGCATTAAGAACAAGCGAGAAATCGTTCAAGAAGAAGGTGGCGGGCCTCAGAAACGCAGGAGAACATAGTCATGTGTTATGATTACAATCCTTATTCTATGCATAGTTCTGCTTGGACCGATTTTCCCCAGGGTCAAAACGACTACAGCTTCGTTATTGTAAAATATACATGGAAACGCCCGATATCTACTGTCCGAAGGCAGTAGCGAGGAAGCTTTCGATCTGCTTCTTGTGCAACGCCTGGAATTGATTCGAGGTCGGTACGTATCACTGGCAAGCATGCGATGCGACATACCTTGCTACCAGTGGCAACTGAACTCGTAGGATCGCGGCCGGCATACAGAGGGTACTTGCCCTTATGGTGCTGCGTCTCGTTGGCCGCGGTCAAGATTCGCGGGCCAACATACGTCCATGCACCGTTGTTCAAAGGCTCCTCCTACAAGAAATCATGAGCAATTTTGCAAAGGAGAATTGTTCAAAAACCTCTTACCTGACACCACAAGATATCGGCGTTAGGATACTTGTCCAAGTGGGGCGTGAGCTAATGTGCGGAGGATCAACAGTGTCCTACAATAGATAAGTTGCACAGACGCACAAGATCGTAAGGGAAGGGAGATATCTGCTCCAAGCGGCTGATAGCGACGTCATTGAAGCCCTTGTCCTCACGCTCTTGGAGAAGCGTATGATAGACTTGACCTGCGCAGATACTCTTTAGCTGTACGCAACGTCTAACCAGCACAGAACGCACCACTGCAAAGAATGTGCCGCCTAATATTCTCCGGAGCAACGAGGTCCTCAGGATGGGAGTCAGGGATGTATCGCTGGAATTGCGTCTCTCCAACCATTTCCGACAAGTCAGACCGAGCCTTGGGGTGGCGCAACAATGATTTCGAGAAGAACACAATAAGCTAACAAACGATGAGCATGAGAAGGACGTGGCGACAAATTGTACGCGTAACCTACCGGCTTGCGGAAGTCACGATGAATTTGACGACGGAGGACGTGGAACTATCGGAGTACAGTGAGTTTAGCCACCTTAGAGCAAATTTCATTTGAATTGGCATACGTAGTTCGCCGGCGTTCTGCAGTGCGGTGATCAATCTCATGAATAACCACGCATAACATAATGGCACTTACGTCGGGTAGACGATCTGCATATTGCAATCCTGGTGCTGGCGCTCAATCTTATCCGGTGTTGGGAAGTAGCCTGGATGATCGTCGCATAATTGGAGGAATCGCTCTAACCGTCCGCTTGAATGCTCGGGACCCTGACCGTCGAAGCCGTGAGGTAGACTCATAACTACACCGGTACGCTGCAACCATTTCCGTTCGCCCGACGCGATGAACTGATCGATGATACATTGCGCATTGTTCGCGAAATCACCAAATTGCGCCTCCCAGATGGTCAATGCGTCCGGCGAAACGAGCGAGTAGCCGAGCTCGAAGCCGAGCGCGCCAAACTCGGACAACGACGAGTTACATACAATGAAACGTGCCTGATTCGAACCGAGATTGTTGAGCGGAACGTACTGCTGCTCATTCTCCTGGTCGTGAATAACGGCATGACGCTGCGAGAATGTTCCACGCTCAACATCTTGGCCGGAGACGCGGACGTGAATCTTCTCGAGAGCTAGCGAACCAAACGCGAGAGCTTCTGCGGTCGCCCAGTCGATGTTGCGGCCTTCCTCGACAGTCTTGCCACGGTTGGTCAGGATACGGGCGAGGTTGCGGTGCGGGTGGAAGCCCTCGGGATAACTGGAGATGACCTTGCCGATGCGCTTGAGCACCTCTTCCGTTGCACCGGTGTTGGACGTCGGGAGCGTCTGCTCAGCAAGCTGCTTCGGCGAAGGAAAGCCCGGCCACGCCGCTGAAAGCCACTCCTTGCTGGTAGGAACGTAATCCTTCGCAGCGTTCGCGGCCTTTTCGAGCATGCCCCATACCCACTTTTTATGCTCTTCGATGTCCTTCTCCGTGAACGTGCCCCGATCGATTAGGTATTTCGAATACTGCGTGAGCGGAGTCGGCTGCTTCTCAATGGCCTTGTACATGCGCGGCTGCGTGAAGCTCGGCTGGTCGGTCTCATTGTGACCGTGGCGGCGATAGCAGACGATGTCGACGACGACGTCGCGCTTCCACTTCGCACGCCAGTCAGCGGCGAGCTGGCAGACAAAGTTGACCGCCTCGACATTGTCGCCATTTACGTGAAAGATGGGCGCGTCAATGGCCTTGGCGATGTCGGACGGATACGGCGTCGAGCGAGCGAACCGTGGATCCGTGGTAAAGCCAATCTGGTTGTTAACGATGAGGTGGACCGTTCCGCCAGTGCCGTAATTAGGGAGGTTGTGGAAGCCCATCGTCTCGTAAACAACACCCTGACCCGCGAAGGCAGCATCACCATGAAGAAGGACACCCATAGCCGTCTCATGTGTCGCTTCGTCGTTCTCGAAGTGTTGCAGTGCCCTCGTCTTGCCAAGGACAACCGGGTCCTCGGCCTCCAAGTGCGAAGGGTTGGCGACCAAGGATAAAGCGACCTTCTTACCAGAAGGTGTCGGTCGCACGTAGTTCGCACCAAGGTGATATTTGACATCACCTGCCGGGAAGTCATCGTCGTCCGATGTCCCAGAAAATTCATTTAGGATGGCCTCGACCGGTTTCCGGATGACGTTGGCAAGGACGTTGAGACGTCCGCGATGAGGCATGCCGATTGTGACGTGTTTGACGCCATGCTCGACCGACCGGTCAATTAGCGCCTTCATACCTGGAATAAGAGCCTCGCAACCTTCCAAGCCGAAACGCTTCTCGTTGGGATATTTGCTCGCCATGAACTTCTCAAATGATTCTGACCAGATAAGACGATCGAGCACCATACGCTTCTCTTCAACAGTGTAGTTCCAAGGTTTTGGGATCTCGATGCGCTCCCGAATCCAGTCGCATTGCTCCTTGTCCGGAATGTGGATGTATTGCCACCCAATATGGCCACCTGCGGCTAGTCAGACATGCGTCGCTATAGCAAAGTATCGATGCTCACAATAAATGCGTTTGCACACATTGATGATTTCACCTAACGTCATCGTCTTGCGGTCCTCCGTCGCAAAATGAGGCAGAATGCCCGGTCCAAGCGCAATCTGCTTGTCCAGGTCGCGCTCCGTGAAAGCGTACTGGCTGAGCTCGAGCTCGGGAGGGTAAGCGTGGTTGAGATCGGCATGGAGAATGCCCAAGGGATCCAAGTCTGCAATGTGGTGGCCGCGTACTTGATACGCACGAACGAGCAATTGCACCTGCACGAAGGATTGGTGCACGCGCAACTCATGTGACGAATAGACATACCTTGAGATGATCGTCCAACTCGGCACCTCCGCTGGCATAGAGGGCAGGTGCACCGCCTACAGGAGTAGGCACGAGGCTGGGTGGCGGTTGGAAGGCCTTGGAGCTAGGCAGGCCCTTATCCATGCCCGAGAAGTAGACGTCCCAGGAGACGTGTACGGATTTTGGGTCCTGTTTCCAGTGATGGTACATCTCTTCGACGTAGTACGCATTGGTGCCGTTGGCAAAGGGATCGTTGGGCGATGGCGTAGTTGCTGTCGCGAACGAGCGGGCGAGGGTAAGGCTCACAGCTGTAAGATTTGCGCCCTGCGCCGCGAGAGGTAGCCGCCTTAGCACATGCCTGGAAAGCATCGTGGAAGACGTGGATGATGGTGGCGAAGAAGGAGCGCAGACGGCGAGTGCTTATGGCTTAAGGTCGTGTCGGGCGTCGGCTCCGATTCTCACACTTCCCCGCACCTGCGACTACGCGTCCGACACGCGTTTCCGCCCTTGCTACCAGTATGTCCGTCGTTCTCCGCCGGACACTGCTCGCTCGCCGCGCTACGCGGCCTCTGTCGTTGTGTTGGTCGCTCCGTCCATACTCTGTTTCAACACATGATGGCCCCGAAATGCCTCCACCCCTTCGCGGCACTAAGATCCTCGATCTCACACGCGTCCTTGCTGGGCCCACCGCGACGATGCTCCTGGCAGACCTTGGTGCGGATGTGATAAAGGTGGAAGAGGTCACTCGTGGAGACGACACTAGTACGCGCCCACTCTGTTTCTGCGAACGCATCTGTCTCATAGGTGCATTCTTCAGGATCTTGGTCACCGCCGTCCGCTCCGCTTTCGCCATCTGCCCCCGCGGAGACGTCCCACCTCCCGCCGGAATCCGCTTACTTTCTCGCTGTCAATAGGAACAAACGGTCTCTCACCGTCAACTTCAAGCATCCCGAAGGACTGGCCATCCTGCACAAATTGATCCGCCGCGCCGACGTGCTCGTTGAGAACTACATCTCCGGAAAGCTAGCAACCATGGGCTTAGGCTGGGAAGACTGTCATAAGCTGAATCCCCGGCTTATATATGCGAGTATCACAGGTGGGTCTTCATCCAGTCTGGACCGCCTATGTTGGCCGACGTAGGGTTAGGATACGGTCAGACTGGGCCATATTCTCAGGCAGCAGGATACGATGTCATCATCGAAGGCGAAGCTGGCCTTATGCACATGTAGGTTGCGTATGAAAGCAGCGAAGTTTCCGTTCCTCTAATTATCATGTAGCACTGGTGAGCCCGACGGAAACCCTTGCAAGGTCGGCGTGGCGGTCACAGATATCGCTACTGGGTTATACGCCCATGGTGCTATCATGGCTGCTCTATTGTCCAGGCAGCAAACTGGCAAGGGCGTGTGGATTGATTGCAATCTTTTTGAGTCACAGGTGAGCATACTCGGGAGATATTTCATGTTGGAACTAAGATGACTTGAAGTTAGCTGGACTTGCGAACATCGCATCAAACTACTTGATAGCTGGCCAGGAAGCAGGGCGGCATGGCACATCACATCCTTCAATTGTTCCGTACCAAGTCTTTCCGTGCAAGGATGGTTTCATCATGATTGGTGCTGGGAATGACAGACAGGTGAGCAGACCTGAAGCTTTACTCAAGCTGCTTCTAATTGAGTTGTAGTTCAGGATCCTAGCTGAAAAGATTCTTGAACAACCTGAGCTTGCTTCCAGTGCAAAATTTGTTGACAACCGATTAAGAGTTGCCAACAGGCAGGAGCTAGTTGAGATTATCACAAAGAAGCTGATGCAGCAAAGTAGGCATTATTGGCTGCAAAAATTCTCTGGCCTGGGGTATGTGTGAATTCTGTGCTAACTTCTTTCATTGGCTTATTATTCTTTTACAGAATACCATTTGGTCCAATCAACAATATTGAGCAAACTTTTCAGCATCCTCAAGCAGTTGCACGCAAAGTAATAGTGGAAGTAGAGGTACACATATTTCTTTGCACAACTTCAGAGGCGGTAACTGATGTATAAGCAGCATTCAAGGGCAGGAAGGGTCAAGCTTGTAGCACCAGCTGTGCATTACAATGGTAAGAGAATGCCAATAGAAAGACCACCACCTTGGCTATCACAACACACATTTGAGGTAAGCCTTTGATAAAAATGTCATAACTATTCCTAATGTATTAAATGAGCAGATTCTACAAGATGTGGGTTATAGTGAACTTGAGATGCAGGATCTAAGGAGAAGGCACATTGTATAATCTGTTGGTAACAGTTGTAAATTACTTTGAATGCTCTTACACAGACTTCAAGGTACTACCATTTTCTCTCTTGCTAAACAGGCAAAGAAATTAAAGCATTCTTTATACCATGATTCAACTGCTGCATCCTTACCAATGAATAGTCTTTCAAATACAGTATTTGAGTGAGATAGGTTTGAATTTTTGATTCATATATAATATACATCAGGATAAGAAATTCCTTTTTTCTGCTGAAAGAGTTTCTATGTCACCCAACATCAACTGTATATTTTAAAAAAGTTTACTCAGATGAAAGAAAAGTGATTGCATTCATGAAAAGGCTTAAAATTATCTTAACATCTTAGATATTGAGTGAGTTATTTTTTTACATAATTTGATCTCTATGTTATAGATAGCATAGCAAAGAAAGGCCTTTTTGATTATAGAAAAGACATTGAGAATGTTAGCAATATATAATATTTTATCAAATTATCAGCTGCAATAAAAAGCCTTCTGAATACATATTTTGCACATCATTAATGGGCTTTATAGTGCTTTGACATTAATAGCTGACATAACATGTGAGAATATCTCTCAATTTTTATTGCTCTCTTAGCATAACGATGATATGAAGTGTCAACTACACATGAAGTGATTAGCGAAATAAGGTGAAACAGGATAAAAATATTGAGAAAAACATTGCAATCTTTCCACTTTACTGTTAATTTGTGATGAAGGTATTCAAAATACTTGAAACATTTTTCACCAAAGATGATGAACAGATCATATTTTATAACCTTTCAGACAAACTTATAATAAAAAGTTTTAAACCTCTTCTTCATTCTTTCCTTGCTAGAGATGATGAATATATCATTAGTACTATGGTTGAAATGTTAGTACCACACTAGTATCAACTAGTACCAGCTAGCACTATAATTTGGAGGTTAGTACCAAGGTTCAAATGTTAGGAGAGAGTTTAGTATCATGCTATTGGTAAGTCTGAAGGTTAGTATCAATGCTCAAATATTAGTATTATGCCTAGTACTGATGTCTGAAGATTAGTATGAAGGTTTAAATGTTAGCACTATGCTAATATCAAGCTACTAATATGTTCTGGAGGTTAGTACTAAGATCTAAATGTTAGTATTATGCTAGCACTAAGCTATAAGGCCTGAAGTTCATTGGTAAGATTTGAATGTTGGTACTAAGCTGCTTGTGTGTTTGCGCTGAGGTGTGAAAATTATTACTCATTTACCACTTGGCATAGTGCTTGAATTATAACCTTAATACTAATCTCCAGATCATAGTATCAGTATGATGTTAACATTTGAATCTGAGTATTAACCCTTCATACTTGATTAAAATGGCAATGATGTATGATCACAATATGCTCATTATGTTTGACAAAAAAGAATTTAAAAACTTATTAGTACTTCATTTATTTTCTTTTATCTTTTTTATAAAAATGTTAATAATATTTTGAAGCCTTTTATATTGACAGTAAAGATGCTGAAAAGATTGAAAACATTTTTAAATGTCTTTACCATCTTTCACCTCAAATTATTGATTGCTTCACCAGTGATGAACAGTGACTCAGCACTGGTGAAGCAATCAATAATCTGAGGTGAAGAATGATAAAGACATTGAAGCACGTTTCAAATCTTTTCAGCATCTTTTACTGTCAATGTGTGATAAAAAGATTCAAAATATTATTAACATCTTTTCTTGTTGATGATGAAAAGATTGGGCAAAGATTGGATGACATATCAGCAATTATTTTTTTAATCATTTTACAATCTTTTAGACAAAGTTATAATAGAAAGTTTCAAAAATTTTTTCATTCTTTTCTCATCAAAGATGATAAATATATTGTGACCATGTCACATCATTATCATTCTACACTAAGCCAATATTAGGATATAAAGGTAAATACTTAGGTCCAAATATTAGTACTATCTCTTGAAGCCTTAGTATTAGCATAGTGTTGATCTTTAGATCTTAGCATTAGCATAGCACTAGCATAGTAGTAGCATAGTACTAACCTTCAGACCTTAATACTAGCATAGTACTAGCATTTAAATCTTAAAATTAGCATACTGCTCATGTTAGAATCTTGGTATTACTCTTCTAACCATAGTACTTATATAGTGCTAACATATAAACCTGAATATTAGCTGCCATACCTTGATACTAGCTTAGTATATAATTGAAAGGATGTGACATAATCACAATATCCTCATCATCTTTGATCCAAAAGGAGTAAAGAATGATTTTGAAAATCTTCATCATAATTTTATATGAAAGGTTGTAAAATGATTGAAGAAATGATTATTAATATTTCATCCAATCTCCTTTCAATCTTTTCATCATCTTTGACAACAAAAGATGTTGAAATATTTTAAATACTTCTATCACAAATTGACAGTGAATATGCTTAAAAGATTTAAACTTTTTCTTCAATTTTCACCATCTTTCATCTCAAATTATTGATTGCTTCACTCAGTGTGATAGGAACTGGAAACAATCAAAGTTATGGCTGTATATACAGCAAAAGCAGATAGCAGACAAGCATGCATATGTACTAGCAATGAAGATGATATGTATCATACATGAGCAAAAGGATACAATGTGCAGATGCATCAGTAAAAGTTCACATCAGGATGATATATAGATCAAATATCATTAAAATGCAAAGATAATTATGTTTAATGATCTTCCAAGTAGAGTAATAGAGGGCATATAATGTAATTGTTGCAGATGCAACAGGATGTCATATTAAGGCTCACATAAAGCATAAAGGACAATCTCAGATCAACAGCAACACAGCCAATATTAATCTGAAGCAATGTTAAATGGCTGCAGTTGAAAGACAGAAATGCTGAAGGTTAAGTAAAATCAGCTCTCAGGGATACTGCATAACAGTCTTTTCTTCATACTTAAAGATGTTTACAGACCATTCAGAGAAATGAAATGAGTTTGTGAAAAGTCAATATGTTTACCTTGACAATCTTATTACCATTTTGAGCAAGATAAATACAAGTGTATGCTCGATGAAAGATGCATGAAATGTTGTTCATGCTGTATTGCACAGTGTAGACTCTGTTCATTTCTTATTACAGTGAAATGATACAGATATCTATGTATAGTTTCTGTTTTGCTATGCTCAAATAATAATCTCTCAATTTTATCATCTGTCTTCATTACTAGTGTTGCAATAGAGATGTGAGGATAACAGACACTTTTATTTATTTACAGAACTGCAGCTTGTGAATTTGAACAAAATGTCCTGCTAAGTTAAGTTAAGCTTCTCAAAGGCAGTAAAAAGCTTTCAAAATGACTGCAAGCTTTTTTCTTAGGAAGTCTCAGTCAGCATGTCAAACATGTCACATATGACTCATTAAAATACACTGCTTTTACAATTTATCATCGACAGAAATGAAAAGCAATGTTAGCTTGATACTGCACTATATGTATATTAGAGAAGATAGTATAAAAATTTAGTTGTATAATATTATTTTATTTTAATTGCTTGTTATTTTACTTGTCATTGAATGATATAAATGATTACTTATTGTTTTATGATTGGATCATCACTAGCAATAGTTCAATGTAAGAATACTGTAAAAGTAGCTAATTATAAACTCAAGCATATCACAGTTTAGCTTGATGACAATCTGTACTAGGCTCTGTTGAATTTTTTCATGTTGCTACCCTGTGCATCTTGAATATATACTGGCATTGATACATGATGTAATATATCAGGGTTTTTCAATCATATCAGGTGCAGTAATGTAATAATGATCTACAGCAGTCAAATAATCAATATATATTCAAGAAACTTATGAAGATTATAAGTTAAATATTAAAACTCAGAACCTCAGAAACTGTTTCTGTGTTTATCTTGAGTTACTTTTGATTTGAACACAGGTTGACATTAGAGATATTTATGCTTATGATAAAAGTGTAGTGAGGAATAGAGGTGGACTGTAAAAAATGAACAATGTGAATGCAAAGGCCAGATGTTTAATATTTAAATGGTGCTTCTGAGTAAAAATCTGTGATGCTGTGACTACCTAATTTGATAACACAGGTCAATTTCTGATTGGCTGTATTCACCTGAAACATTTTGAACACATGTCAAAGACATTTTCAATGCCACCAATGTTTAATGTTTGGCCGCATTTCAAATGACAAAATGGATTCCATTCAGCATACATTGTGTTGAAATTCAGACAACACAGAAACTTTATTTGAGATCTTATTGAAAGTCCTTCACAATGTTGCCAGAATGATATCCTGATGATGGGAAAGGAAACATGCAAAACACAAGATGATGATATCATTCCTCAGGATTCCTCAATGATAACTTGTTGTAACCAATAAAGATACCAGTTGATACATATTTAATGTTCACATAATGAGATCATATTTTTATCAGTGGTTCCATGTAGTCATAATTGAGGTGACAATTGCATTGTTTTCAGAATTGTTCTTTCATTTTGGCAAGAAGATCATAAACAATGTGTTTAGTTTGAACGTTGACAAATAAATTTGACAGAAACATGATCTCAAATTGGTCACAATCAAGGTGATGTCTCAGATGACTTTTATGAAAACATAGAGGCAATCATTGTGACTGTGACTGTAATGCATTCAGGATGATTTGAGAGGAATCACAACCTCATGCCCTTTATGCTATTGAGGGTGTCAGTGATTCCACAAAGTCGAAAATGAATCAAAGAGAATTAAAACAAAAGTGATGGCTCCAAGGGGCTTGGAGTCATTGACCTAAAGATAGGACCTTTTGGGTTGGAAGCCTTTTATTGTGAGCATATTTGCTTGTACAAGCAATACTAGCAAGAACATGTCAAAAAGAAGACTCTTAAGCCATAAGTTGATTTGAGTTTTTCTGATGCAGTGGCGTAGTGCAGATGCTCATACTCAGATCAAATCAAACCATGCTCAAATTATTCCACATTTCTAATCGCTTGTTTATTTGTTTATTTGTTTGTTTGTTGAGCTTGCAAATATATCATTGCTTGCAGAAGGCTTTAAGGCCATCCATTCCCTTAAATGACCTTGTGTTGTGTCCAGCGATGATCAAGAGTGAACATGTTCACTGATACTCCACCGGTCATATGAGAGATTGTGCTCTGCATCAGATGACAGGGACACAGCTCTTTGGCAAGATATGATCATGATTGAAAGTCATGCAGCAATATGTGAGATCCTTATGGATCACACTGGCATCAGTACATACTCTATCATTATTTCACTTCAGAAGAATATCACTGACTGGCAGTGTTTAGGACCCAATCACTGTCTCATTTACAACTTCTAAGCAGCCAATGGGTTATCATTCAAAATCATATAAGACTTCAGTTCTAACAGAACCTATGTGAGTCAAACATTATAATAAAATGATATTAGCTTATGCCGAATCTGGTGAATAAACAGAAGTTGTGTAAGGGAGAATACACCATTCTCAGGAGTGGTGTGGAAGTAATCTTAGGATGCAATCCAGATCTGTATCATCATGGACACCCACATGTTTTGCACTTCACTTTTGTATACTACTGGGTCAGACCTCAATTGGTATGTAACCATGCTTTTGAACAGTATTTCATTTACTTAAACTGGTAAATTGTTCAGTTCTTTGTAACTTACTACTTGGGTAAAGTGTAAGTATATAGCAGTGGCATGGTATAACTTGACACAAGACTTATACTAGCACAGCATAGGCTCAGGTGGATTCAGAATGGTTTATAAAGCTCAGCATCATGTGACAGACAAATATCAAGCAGTCAAAAATTCAAACCCTCAAGAGATGCTCATCTCACAGAAGGCTGCAGCAATTCATAAGAAGATCAGGATTCTGGTTAGTTTAAGTCATGTAAGTGTGCTGCTGAGTCCCCATCAAGCACTACTCTCAACTCTGTCAACTGTACTTTTCAGCTGCAGATTGTTCTGTTTGATGAAATGATTAGAGAATCTGATCAAATTTATATAAGGATATATATTAGTACTACTTATCATTCAAACTGATCAGCTTTGCTGTGTAGATATCATCATGGAGTTAGTCACTGTGGGGGATCTTCTGAACTTGATAGATGAACAGAGCTTAAGTGAGCTAGCAGTTCATAAGTTTCTTTCATACTGAAATTCGATTATCAGGTGATCTGATGCCAAGGCAGCTACAAAAGAGCTGCATTCAGCCCTGAAAGTGAGCAGTTTACCAGTTTATGCCTTTCTAATCTCTGCTTGAGGTGAAGCTCATATAGACATGTTCACAGTATCTTCATTTGAATCAGATTGTTCACTGTGATGTCAAGCCATCTATATGTAATCTGTTTCCTTGGCTATTCAGCTTGGATAACAAACTCAAGAGGCCCTCAAGAGGCCATTGTGCTTAGAACATCCTTGTCATACAGCAGTCACCCATTCATATCAACTCACAGACTTTGGCCTCACAAAATACTCTGCTGAGACCATTTTGGACGTGAAATGTCGCAGATTGTTCAATTGATGGTGGTATTAATTACACTGCTTCCCAGACTGCTCATGGCACACCATAATACATGGCTTCCAAAATCATAGTGCTTGAGTGGCAGGGTGCAGAGCCTCAATATACTGTGAAGGTAGACAGTTGGGCATTAGGTGTTACCATTTTTCAGATGTGCATTCAGATGTGCATTCCTCATACTTACTATGTGTTATCTACTGTGTGAATGACATATGCAACAGGTTATTTGCCCAGCTGCCATTTATATATGAGAGGGCTCTCAAAGATCGCAATGATGTACAATGGTCCAAGGGTTTTGAATGTGATGGTAAGTACCTTCAGTATATTCAAATGCCAATAATATTCACTGATTGTTGGAACCTTAGCAAAGGAACTCATACAGTGCCTTCTTTTTGCAATGCCAGAAATGTGACTATCTGTCACGGTTTTACCCGAACATATTTACTTTTGCTACACAAGTCCTATATGAGTCAATCTATAACTGGATACCAAAGCACCCACCTTCATACCGGTCTATCTAAGTGGATACTTGGACCTGTCACAAGTTAACACCAGCTACACAGCAGACTTGACTGTGTCTACCACTAGACCAATGGAGTGCCCGATCTGACCACTCAGTCACGTGACCAGATAAGGAGCTTATATCTTTAGGCTATGATAGCTATACGATGGATAGCAGCACCCACCCTATTGGCTACAATTAATAGGACCAACACCATTGGCCACTCAATAAGTGGTCCCACTTCAGCTACTCATAAAGTGGCACCATGTTCTACAATTATCTCATTGGATGCAGTACAGCCATTCTTAGATAGTTATCATGGCGAGACCAGAACCATTACTGGTTCTGACATTATATTCACATGTAGGTACCAGAGGTCTCACAGTAGCACAAGTGCCAGAGGCTCTGTCATACATGTATATAAGCACCTATGAGGAACTGGGTATTCCCAGTTTTATTCAACTATTTCATGAGGCCTACAATGACCATTACCTACTTCTTTGTGTGATAAGGCTAGGGGCCCTGTGAGCCCCCTTTTACTTTATATCATCATCCAACACTGGCGATGAGTCACAAGATGCAGGCAGCATCTTGCAGCCAGCTCCTTGCCTTTCTAGACAAAAGTCACAATGCACTGTGACATTTGAATGAAACTATAAACTGCATCCAGCAGCGCGCTGCTTGCAGGGTGACCTGAGGACCCAATGTGAGTCAGGCACATTTTCAGCCAAAGTACTCTTTGAGGAACTGGCTTTCTGGACCTTGACAACACCCATAAAAAACTGTCCATTTACTACCAAAGTACCCAATGCAGGACTGGTATTTTCAGCCCAAGAAACTCAGATGTTAGGGTGCATCTTTTTTTGCCATTATAGCCATTATATTCCACATCGACATCTACCCACCTTAAGCCACTCCCTCTCTTCAAAAGGTAACAGCACATGCACGCTTCCTTCACACCTCTATGAGAGTGAATAGTCATGAAGTTGCACCACTCTCTGAAGAAGACCTGAGGGAGGGTCGTACATTTATGAGTAGATTAACAATGCTACACTAGACTAGTAACCTATGTAGCAATATGGGATATTACTTTAGTGAAAGGCGCACCAATACATCAAATAACAAAGCAATATTATAAGTATTCGAACAGCGCAAATCATTCACATTACATTACTATAAACATGCAAGCTCTAAAAAAGGCAATTTCTCATGACCTATAAAGGCAACTTGCATACCGTAACAGGCAATTCTCTTCAGTTTTCTGTTTCAATGAGGCTTTTTTGCATCTTTAGACTTTTTAGTTGTGTTAACTGTCATATGTCAGAAATTGTGATGCTCTGATTTGTTCAGTAGATAGAGTTGATTATTACCTCTGTCTTAGATATATATAGTTCCATTTGTGATCTATAGAAGATGATCAATGCATTTACAGTGACATCTTTAACTATATCGAGCAGCCTTTCATTTACAATGCAGCTTGACTATCTCATTCAAAGCCATAGATCTCGGAATATTTGTACAAGTAAATCCGAGATGCTGCCAGTCAATGCATAGTTATCAAAGCCTTAAACAACAATAGTGCCTTTATATACAGACACTCTGAAAAGACAGTTTTACATAAACTTGCAATGTTAAAGATCAGTCTTGCAAACACTTAATGTACACATTGTTAGACCTTGTGTGACTGTAAGAGTTCAAATCTGTCATAGCAAAACTGAATATAAATTGTCACCTGACTTCTCACAATAGTGGTCATCAGCCATAATACAAATAATCTTCATGAGCTGGTGCCTGATGGAAACAACTTTTCAGGTAGCCTATATAATTTGATTAGCTTAATAAAAAGTATTTTCAGAATCAGCTTGTTATACTGCAAAGGTCTTATCTTTCACTGTGCCAATAAACCCTGTGCATCATTGGTAACACAACAGTCTGTAGCCTTTGCCCTGTAGCCTTATTGATGTTGATTATGACTGACGTGTCACATTATAGAGTCAATTTCTTAAGATGAATCTATTTCAATCATGAAAGATATTTCATAAACCTCTCAGTGTTTCAAAATTTGTCTCATTAGAAGAGCTTTACCAATTCACAGAATTCACAGCATTATTTCTGGCCTTGAGCATTTATGCTAGTCCTTTTGCTATTTGTTGTTTTGTGATATGCTTCACAGATGGACTAAAGCATTTTTAATCTCAAGTGCCTTCAACCATTTTTACTTTTATTATTATTTAAGACTGTAGAAAGTTTCAGATAGATAAATAAAGTAACAGTCAATTGACTTGATCTAATAATATACACCAAAATGATGGACTTTAATGTTAATATAATAGATTTTGCATTATGGAGGATAATCATCACTGTTTTCTACAGAAATAGAATATACTTTGTGAGATAAAATTCTTACTTCATCCATTCATAATGCACCTGCAGAGTATCTGTGTTAACTCACTTTGTTTCTCACAAACAGAAGTATGTTTTAGCTTATAAAATGTGTGTCCCTTTGTCAGCCATATTTTTTCTACAACTTATCATTGAGTCTGCTTTTTGAAGAGCTATTTGAAATTGCTATGAGAAATCATCTGTACTTCATATTCTATGATATATGACTATTCTGTGCAGATATGTTTTCTTATTAAATGGCAAGAACACTCAGTTTGCGAAAACATGTTTCACACTATGATAACATTATTTAAAAGACTGATCTATATCCTTAAAATAAGCTGGCCCTGAACACACTTTTGTTAAGCTAATCAATTGTGAGAAATTACATGACACTTTGTACTCAATTTTGCTATGACAAACTTCACCTCTTAGCACCACACAAGGTCTAACAACATGTACATTACCCTGTTTTCTTAAATTGCAAGTCTGATCAGTTTGTGTATAAGTGTCCTTCCAGAGTTTCAGGCTTTGATGACTATGAATCACTTAGACAAAATTTTGAATTTACAGCTTTCAGATGAGATAATCAAGCTGCATTGAAAACAAAAGTTGCTAGATATAGTCAAAGATTTAACTAGAAATGCACCCATCATCTTCCACATATCATGAAAGGGCACTATATACATTTCTAAGACAATGCATAGTTAATACAATTGACAAGTCTGAGCTCTTTTTTGCATTAAGAACCTCATGGACACAGAAAACAATTAAAGAAGAGCAAGCATGTATAATTGTATATCTGTTAGAAGAACAAAGGCAGTTAGTTTTACTGTTAGCAGTGACAACAGTGAAAAACCTCTACTGATTGCAATTGCATTAATTATGTGAAAGGCAAGAGTGGGAAAAAGGTAAAATCTTTTTATTGCTTATCATATACTCAGCTTCAGTGGAGTTTAAACAGAGCGAACATACTTGTTAGTGAACACATGATAGCCTTTCCTCCATACTAAAAGATGTTCACAGATCATTCAGAGCAATGGAACAATTATTCAGCTCAAACTGTTCTTTTTAACGTATGCTCTATGCAAGATGCAGAAATGTTGTTTATGCTGTGTTGCATAGTGCAGACCCTGTGACAAAAATGGTACAGATATCCACAGTTTCTGTCCTGCTATGCTTGAATGATAATTTCTCAACATTAATAACCTTACCTCTATCAGTGTTGCAATAGAGATGTGAAGAGACTTTCATTTATTTCCAGAACTGTAGCCTAGAGAAAATGGACTGTCATCTTCTCAAATCAATAAAAATTTCTCAAAATGCAAGCCTTTTTCCTTAGAAAATCTCAGTCAGCATGTCACACATGTCACTGATCAAGATATATAACATTCATTCATCAGAAATGGAAAGCAACTTTAGGTTCATCTTACACTATATATTGCAGAGAGTAGTATGAAAATTCAATTGTGTGATATTCTTTATTTGTCACTTATCATTTTACTTTAACAGTGAATGATATGAATGGTCACATATGATTGGATCATCACTAGCAATAGTTTAATATCTATGCAATACTTGAATTTCTCCATATTTCTATACTGTGCATCTTGAATATACTGATATTGATACATAATGTAGTACATTATGATTTCTTAATCACAGTAGTGTAGTAATGATCTACAGCAGTCAAATGATTAAGATATATCGAGACACTTATGCAGATCATAATTTGAAGTATTACAGTCAAAAGCCTAAAACCTCAGAAATCGTTCCTGCCAGGAATGGCCCTCTTACCCAAGTATAGTGAGAGGGAGCAGAATCACACAGCATTTGGCTGAGAAGAAGGCATGAAAGGAGTGAAAGGAGTAGTAGTCCTTGGTTGATGCTTCGCTAGCTGTACCACTGTGCTCATAGTCTCAAGCGGCCCTATATTAGTTGCTGTATCAAGTACCCCGGTATGGTAAATTATTCTCCTTTGTGCTTGAATGAGTCCACGTGCCTCTTCCTTTTACTGAGCGGTAAAATAGAGCTTGAACTTTAGACTACTTTGTACAAAACACCCGCCCGAATGAATCACTCATTGCTGCTTATTGTCCACTATCTTCATGGCCAGACT